CAGCCGGCCTCCCAGGGCAGAGGCCCGGCGCACGAGCCGCGGCGGGGGACAGGGCAGCTCACCTGGGCGGGGGCAGCAGGGGGCAGCCTGAGGCAGGGCAGAGGACACTGCAGCGGTGGGGGGAAGCCGGAGCCCTGTCCAGGCACGTCCTGGGGGCTGGAGTTAGACGGCTGCACCCCTCTGCGACCCGCCAGCCCTCCTGTCATGTCACCCACACTCAGGGCCCTTCCGGGACTGGGGGGTGCGCACCCCTCGTCCAGAGGGTGGGGCCCCAATGCCGCTCCTGGGCATCCCTTTCCCAGGGCGGCTCACCCCCCTCTGGGCAGTGCACCCCCAGGCTCGAAGCCCCACAGAAACGCCTGTTTGGGGAGCACAGAGGTGTGTCCTGACCCACGGGAGGCGCAGCCGCCATCCTGAACGTGCTCACGTGGATTCACCCACAACTGCAGGAGTCACTCTTCACTCGGCCTCTGGGGTACATGGGGACCCCATGGGCAACACTGCCTCGGGGCGGGGAGGTGCCTCCTGTCGGGGCTACAGGGGGTGCTGGCCGTGCTGAGGGAGGGGGGCTGTGCCCCAGCTCATGGCCAGACGGCTCGCTCGCCACACCCGCTGACTCCTGCCTCGTCACGCTCAGGTCTCCCCTGGTGGGATGGCAGCTACGTGAAGTCAGCAGCTTCTGTCACCTTCCCAGACTTTGGGGCTGACACCTCGAGGCTCACAGCCTGGACCTCATGTGGGCCTGGTGGTGCCCGTTTCCTGCCAGCAGGTGCTCTGTCCCGGGGCCTGGCCCCCCGCAGGCTGCCTCACTGTGTCCGAGGGCAGCAGACAGGCCGCAGGGAGCAGGGGTGGGCGTGGGAGGACTTCCAGTGTGGCCACATGTCCGCAGGTGTTGGGGTGAGGGGTGCCGGCGCGGGGGGCCGCTGGGTGTTGGGTGCAGGGTGGGGGTCAGCGCGGTGGGCTGCTAGGTGTTGGGCTGCAGGGTGGGGGTCGGCGCGGTGGGCCGCTGGGTGTTGGGTGCAGGGTGGGAATCCGGCGCGGTGGGCCGCTGGGTGTTGGGCTGCAGGGTGGGAATCCGGCGCGGTGGGCCGCTGGGTGTTGGGCTGCAGGGTGGGGGTCGGCGCGGTGGGCCGCTGGGTGTTGGGCTGCAGGGTGGGGGTCCGGCGCGGTGGGCCGCTGGGTGTTGGGTGCAGGGTGGGGGTCCGGCGCGGTGGGCCGCTGGGTGTTGGGCTGCAGGGTGGGGGTCCGGCGCGGTGGGCCGCTGGGTGTTGGGCTGCAGGGTGGGGGTCCGGCGCGGTGGGCTGCTGGGTGTGGAGCTCCGACCAGTTAACATGCTGGGAACCTCGCTGACCCAGCGTGTTTGTCAATCGGCCAGAAACCGAGATCCAGAGCTCGGGGGAGACACCTTGGCGGCAGTTTGTAACCAGCCCCTGTGGGTGTCGGCTCCGTGGGGTGGCACCATGCTCCCCGTGACGGCGGTGTTCCAAGGTCGCCAGGAGGCAGGGGGCCCGGGAAAGCCTGCGGTTTGGGGTGGTCCTGCAGTTGTCGGACAGGCCTCGGGCTGGACCAGGGTCCGCTGGCCTGTGTCCTGGGACTGTGCTGGGTTTGGCCCTGTGGTTGCCGCAGGGTGAGACCTGTGGGCTCCTCGTGCTGCCCCCACAGCCTTTGCTGGAGGACGCTCCCTCCGGCCAGCCCCACGGCCTCGGCCTCCAGAAGCCAACGAACACGGAAAGGTGGACGGTGACGTGGCTGGACTGGGGCCTGGCCTCTGCGTCTCCTGAGCCAGCCCGGGGAGGGGGCCCCAGGGGAGACCCCGAGGGCCCCGCACCCCCCTCAGCAGCTGGGTCAGGCTCACGCCACTGCAGAAGGAGGGGTCTGCAAGGTGGCCCCCCAGGAGGTGGCAGGAAGGAGGCGGCCTCGTGCTGGGACGGGGCCGGGTGGTGAGACCATTCGGGGGGCAGGAGCCCACGCACCCCTTCTCCACCCCACGGGGGTCCGTCTTTCACAGACCAGAGCCCGGGCACGGGTGGGGCTCCGCAGGGCTCAGGAGCGTCTGTCCCGGCCCCACCTTGGCCCCTGCACGTGGCTGAGCCCTTGCAAATGCCCTGCCCCCTGGGGGGCCCAGCCGGGAACCTCGCAGCCCGGCTCTGGGAGGGTTTCTTAATGCGAAGCAGACGCGGCGTCTGAGCGCTCAGTGTTTTCCACGTGAGGGCGCGGCTGGAGGACGGCTCCCCGCAACCCCACAAGGTGGGTTTGTGGGTCCAGAGCCGGTGTGGACGCCGGCCCAGGGAGGTGGTGCTGGCCCGGAGCGAGGTGGCCAGCTCTGGGGAGGCGCTAGGGGCACAGGCAGGTGCCCCCACTCTTCCCTGGGCGCCGGCTGGGGACCACACAAACACCCGGATGGGGCAGGGAGCCTCGGGGGCACAAAGCTGGGCGCCCTGGCAGATGTCTTGAGGCCAAGGGTGTCCGGCAGGGGTGGGGGGCAGGATCTGAAGGAGGCCAAGGGCCCGTGAAGGGCCGGGAGGTGGCTGGGCTCACAGGTCGGCGCTTCTACCCGCCGTGTCTGCGTGACCAGTGGTGGTGCTGGGGCCTCCCCAGCCAGGACCCCGGGGAGGTGGCAGCGAAGTCTCCTTCCAGGGTTTCTATGTTCGGAAGACACGCTCGGCTCCGGACGGCCGGGGAGGAGGGCTGACTTGCAGCTGGAGGCCGCCCCGGGGCGCAGATGTGGCCCCAGCTCGCTGGAGGCCGGAGCGTTCGAAGCCCACGTGTGCTGCCAGGGCTGTGGGTGGAGGACCCCAGGAGCCCCCAGCGGCGCCCCCACCTGGAGGGACAGCCGGGCCTTGTTTCTGCTGGAATGCAAGGTTCCCGCCGCCCTCAGGGTCCGAGTTGCCGTGGTGATGACCTCAAGCAGAGGCAGAGGCCCGGAGTGCTTGGTTCTGTGACTCCCGTGTGTCATCTGCTGGCTCACAGGTCGCAGCCAAAACACTGAGCACTTGCGGGGCCTCCGCGTGTCACGGGGTCTGTGCCTCTACGTGTAGCAGGGTCTGTGCATGTAGTGGGGTCTGTGCCTCTACGTGTAGCGGGGTCTGGGCATGTAGCGGGGTCTGTGCCTCTGCGTGTCGCGGAGTCTTTGCGTGTCTCGGGGTCTTTGCGTGTAGCGGAGTCTGTGCCTCCACGTGTCGCGGAGTCTTTGCATGTAGTGGGGTCTGTGTGTGTAGTGGGGTCTGTGCTTCTACGTGTAGCGGGGTCTGTGCCTCCGTGTGTAGCAGGGTCTGTGCGTGTAGCGGGGTCTGTGCGTGTAGCGGGGTCTGTGCCTCCGCGTGTAGCGGGGTCTGTGTGTGTAGCGAGGTCTGTGCCTCCGCGTGTAGCAGGGTCTGTGCGTGTTACGGGGCCTGTGCGTGTAGCGGGGCCTGTGCGTGTAGTGGGGTCTGTGCGTGTAGTGGGGTCTGTGCGTGTAGCGAGGTCTGTGCCTCCGCGTGTAGCAGGGTCTGTGCGTGTCACGGGGCCTGTGCGTGTAGCGGGGCCTGTGCGTGTAGCGGGGCCTGTGCGTGTAGCGGGGTCTGTGTGTGTAGCAGGGCCTGTGCGTGTAGCGGGGTCTCTGCGTGTAGCGAGGTCTGTGCCTCCGCGTGTAGCGGGGTCTGTGCGTGTAGCGAGGTCTGTGCCTCCGCGTGTAGCGGGGTCTGTGCGTGTAGCGAGGTCTGTGCCTCCGCGTGTAGCGGGGTCTGTGCGTGTCGCGGGGTCTGTGCTCCCACAGTTTCTGGGCAGAGCGAGTGCTGCTCACACACGGCCCCTTGGTCTGCTCGGCCAGCTCTGCTCCCGAGATCCGGGCTCATCGCTCTGGATTCGGCGCCAGCCCCCGGCTCCCGCTCCGTGTCCGCTAGTGGCAGGAGCTGCAGGCTGCCGCCCACTCCCGTGTCTGCCGAGCTCCTCGCTTCCTCTGGGGCGGTCGGGTCTGTGCCCGAGGCCTCCGCTCTTTTCTGTGCTGTTTCAAGGCCCCTGAGCCGGCGGCGTGAAGAGAGGTGCCCTGGTCTTGGGGCGTGAGGCCCCTGCGGGCTGACCTTGCTCCTGGGGGCGGGCGAGCCCACGCCGGGGGCTCTGGTAGGCAGGCCTCTCGGAGGGTGGATGCCCTGCCCGGCCCGAGGCTCTTCTGTGCCACCCGAGGGGACGTGCTGTCCGGGGCTCTGGGGAGTTTCCAGGCCGCCCTGCCTCCTGCTCTGGGCGCGCTGTGCTCTGGGCTGCATGTCCCTGGATCCCACCCTCCCTGGAGGCCACGGGCGCAGTGGGCGCTGGCCCCCCTGCAGGGCACAGCCTGTGTGCCCTCTCGGCCCATCACCCTCCACTCTGCCCGGTGCTGGGTCCCGGAGCCGGGGGGCTGGGCCCGGCCAGGCTGGTGGGTGGGGCACAGGCTGCTCCTGAAGGAGGAGCCTGGACAGGTTTGTCAGGGACCCGGCCCTCCTGACGGAGACGGAGGGTGTGTCTCTGAGAAGCAGCCGCAGGGTCTCTGTGCCTCCCCACAGGCGACTGTCGGCCCCTCTGATGTGTCAGGTGAAAATCCAACCGATCTGGACCAGGCTCAGTCTCCCCTGCTGGGCGGGCTGGTTGTGGCCCCTGCGCGTGGCAGCCCGAGGTGCCCGCAGAATGGACACGGCGCCAGGACACGGCGCCCCCGCCCCGCCCGCCCTCAGAACGGCCACAGGTGTGGCTCCTGCGGGAAGCAGGCCCTCTGCCCGCCCCCGCTGCCCTGCCCCTGGGGAGCCCCCTCGGTGCTGGGCTGGGCCCTGGGCTCCCACGGAAGCAGCAGACCTGCATCCCCGTTCCCCAGGCCACAGAAGCCTTGGCCACCCTGGGCCGTCTGCGGCCTGTGGTGCCAGTGCGGAAGGCTGGGGAAACTGAGGCAGGTGTGCCGCCCGAGCATGTGCACGCTGGGGACGCTGGCTGATGGCCCCAGCCGGTGGCCCAGCTGCTTACACCTGTGAGTGGAGTGGGTGGGCCTCTCCTACCTGCTGCCCCCGGGTGGGTCCTGCAGGGCGGGCGTCTCTGTCCCGGGGCCCAGGCTGCCTCTGTGCCTGTCAGTCTCCTACGGGGAGCAGGGTGAGGGCTCAGGTGTCCCGGGAGCCCCCCAGCCCCCACGCACTGGATTTGGCCGTGTGGGGTCCCCTGCCCTACCTCGTGCAGGCTGTCCAGCAGTGGGACGGGGTGGTACCCGGGTGGGGGTGGCCCGAGGCGGACGTCCACAAACTGGGCACAGCCTCGCTGCGCTGGCCGGCAGTCCCCGGGGAGACAGGACCACTGTCGCCCTGCTGAGCAGAGAGGTTTCCCAGGAAAATGACAGAAAGTCCCTTTAAGTGTCACGAAACCGACCAGAGAGAACCCTGTGTGTGGCCCAGGGGGTGGGGCAGGACGGCGGGGGTCCTACCACAGCCCTGGACAGGCCCCGGTCAGAGTCTCGGGCTCCACCAGCAGAACCCAGCGCCCTCTCTGGACGCAGTGACCAGAGGCTGTTCCGGGTCCTGGCTGCGGATGACCGGGCCGCACCCATGTGAGTGGGTGCACAGCCCCCAGGGGACCCAAAACCCTCAGGGTCCGCGAGGTTGGAGGGCTGGGCCAGGCGCTCCACCGTGAACCCTGCTCCCCCGGGGGCCCCAAGACGTGAGGGTGAAGGACCTTGGCTTTGGGGGGGCGCCCCCAGACTCTGCCCGCGGGCAGATGGGCTGCAGCCCCAGCCGCTGAGACTGGATGGTGCTAACTGATGTGAGGTTGGTGCAGGGCCACCCCAGACCCTCACACACACGCACACACACAGGACCCCTGCTCCGTCCCGGGTCCGCGCCACACGGCTGGGAGGGGGCAGCGGCACCGGCCGCGCCTGGGGAGCTGGCTGGACGCTCTGGCTAACAGTCTGCAGGGGCTCTGGGCGGGTGGACGGACATCTGCCATCTCGCACTGGTCGGGGCCCTGGGGCCGCAGGCACGAGCATCCCTTCCCCGAGCCCACGTCTGCAGGGAGAGATGGCGGCAGGACCAGAGTGCGTCCGAATCACAGGTGGGGAACCGCTGCTCCGGAGGGGTCTTCGCCTCATGGCTGTGGCGTCACGAACAGTGAGCTCCTCCCTCCGCCAGGACGTCCTCTGCCTGCTGTCCGTCCGTCGGCCTCGCGCACACACACTGTCCTGGGCCACGACGGACCCGTCGGCCTCGCGCACACACACTGTCCTGGGCCACGACGGACCCGTCGGCCTCGCGCACACACCCTGTCCTGGGCCACAACGGACCGAGCTGCCTGCGCCTTCACTGGGGCTTGGAGGACCTGACTTGTTTTTTTAAATCCTCTCCCGAGGATGTTTTTCTATTTATCTTCAGACAGAGTGGGAGGGAGCGGGGGAGGAACATCGATGGGGGAGGGACACATCCACGGGCTGCCCCCCGCAGGACCCCGACCAGGGCCAGGGACGAGCCGCAACTGAGGCACGTGCCCTCGACTGGCATCGAACCCGCGAGTCATTGGTCCGCGAGCCGACGCGCTCACCGCTGAGCACACTGGCCAGGGCAGAGGAGTTTGCACCTCTTCCCGCCGACAGCCAGGCCAGTACGGATGCCCACTCTGCACTCTCCGCCCAGCTGGCCGCACGTGTGGGCCCCGGCGAAGAGCCCGGCGGCCGCCCACTCCCAACAGCAGCAGTCCCAGACCTGGGCTCTCCGCACACCACGTCCAGTGGCCCAGAGGGTGCAAAAGCGTCTGGTGTGCAAGTCACCAGACTCCCAGCCAGCCCGCTGCAGGCCGCTCCCTCGGGCTGGGTCTCCAGCAGGAGGCAAGTGTGTTCACGGCCCCCGGAGCACCGCCCCCCGCAGACACGAACCCGGAGCACCATCCCCCGCAGACACGAACCCGGAGCACCATCCCCCACAGACACGCCCCAGAGCTCAGCCCCCCGCGGACACGGCCCCGGAGCACCGCCCCCCGCAGACACGAACCCGGAGCACCATCCCCCACAGACACCATCCCCCACGGACACGAACCCGAAGCTCAGCCCCCCGCGGACACCGCCCCGGAGCACCATCCCCCACAGACACGCCCCAGAGCTCAGCCCCCCGCGGACACGGCCCCGGAGCACCGCCCCCCACAGACACGCCCCAGAGCTCAGCCCCCCGCGGACACGGCCCCGGAGCACCGTTCTCCACAGACGTGCCCGCCAGCTGGCTGAGGGGCCTGCACGCCTGGCTACCCTTCTGCGGTCCACCTGTTGGTCCACGTACTTCTCACCACCTCTCCCAGCGACGGCCACCCCGCCCGGTGCCTCCCACTGCTTCTGTTGTCCACCCCCTCGGGTGCCCCCCGCGCTGCCTCCTGGTCTGCACTGGACTGCGGCTTCCTGGCTCCTCTGTCCCGTGGTCACTCTGCAGGTGTGAGGCTGGCCCGAGTGTGGAAGGTGGTGCCGAGCACTGGCAGGGTGGGGGGTGTCAGGCCGGGAGGAGGCACAGTGGTGGGGCCGCTGTCTCCTGGGGGGGTGCCAGCAGGGCCTCTCGAGTGCCAGCCGGTCAGGGCTGCGTCCGCTCAGAGCGCCGCCTGCCTGAGCACCCGGGCGGTCAGCACGAGGCTCCTCTGCGTTTCTGAAGGTCTGTCCTGCGTCCTGGGCATGGTGGCCCACCCTGGTGAGAGCACCCTGCACCCCCTTGCTCCCGGCCCGTCTCTCCTGCCGCCCCCCCCCGACCGTGCTGCTGACACCTCTGGGGGGGCTCGGTCTCCCCGTTTCCGCGACAGAACCCTCCCCCTGGCTCTTTGGCCAGGATGTGGGTGATCCCTGCATGCTGCCCCCGTCCTGGTCTCTCCACGGCCCCATCTTGGGGTCCAGCCTCTGAGGCCCTGGCCCCGGCGCCCCCACCCCTCAGGCTCCAGCGTGGAGTCCACAGCCCCAACTCTCTCCTGTGCCGGGGGCAGCCTGCAGCACGGCCACACCCCAGTCACACCTGCCCCCTCACAGCCCCGCGGGGGGCGCTCACCCCTGAAAAGAAAAGGCTGAGCTGATGGCAGGCTCCACCCAGAGGAAGTGGGGCCCGAGTTCCGACGGGGGACAGAGCTGGGGGGGGTGCCCCCAGGCACGCGTGACGTGTGTGGCCAGGCCCCCCCCGGTGGGCAGGGACAGGCCTGCTCGGCCCCGGCGCCACGGTCTCAGGGGACCCGCCTCAGCCCCACTCTGGGCGCTGCCCAGCCGGGACGCCTGGAGCCCGTGGTGAGCGATGCCCCACTCCCCCTCGGACTCGCCCCGAAGCCTGCTGTCTGTTCATTATGGGAACTGCAGCTTCATCAGCAAAACAGAGAGGTCACCGCCGCCCCTGGGGAGGGGACTCCGGACGGAGCCGGCCAGGGGGAGCGGGCAGCATGACCTCTGCGGGAGGGAAACGTCCATTAATTAATTACTTCTCACAGCCGACTCAGTTAGACCCCTGGTCACCTGCGCAGGACGCGCGGCAGCAGGCAGAGAGGACTGGGCCATAAACGAGGCTCCGGGGGCCGGGCCGCTACCCCAACGGCTGCCCTGGGCCCAGGGCTTCGCCAGGCAGAGAGCCAGCCACGGCCTAAATGTGTTCTTCACGTTCGGTGACTGAGATGAAGTTACGGGCCCTGTGGGGACAATCGCCGGCCCGTCTGGAGGTGACAGACACACCAGGTGGGTCTTGAGGAGGGACTCAGGACCGGCCTCCCCAGCCCCGGGCGGGCACAGCAGGCTGCCCCTGAGGACGTCGGCCGGTCTCCAGGGCCCGGCGGGGAGCCCGGCAGGCAGCGGGCTTCTCCGTGTTCCCCAGGGGACAGCAGGAGGAGCCCACGGTGGCCCTGTGTGCGGGAGGCGCGCCTGGCTCCCCAGTGGCATCTCCTCCTAAGGTGGTTTGTACCCAGTGTGTGAGCAGTGACCTTCTGAAAGGTTCATCCACATGGACACAGTCTCCACCACCTGACACCGGTTCTTCCAGGGACCTCCCACCAGCACAGCAGACGGAACCCCAAGTGCCCGCCTGCTCCCTCGTCTTTCTCCAGAACCTTGAAACTTCACCCAACGGTCACCTAAGAGCTGTCACCGAGGGGCAGAATGTGCCTGGTCCCGGCAGCGCCAGGCTCCCCGGCTTCGGCCCCAGGCTACGCCACGTGGCCACAGGATACCTGGAGGCAGGTGCTCTGGGGCCCAGACCGGCTCCATCGGACCCCAGGTTGTCCTCCCCCCACCCTCTGATGGGCTCCTCCTCCCCTCCTGGAGCCCCCAGAATGCAGGGGCAGCTGCAGGGTGGAGAGCCCAGTGTCAGGGACAGTGAGAGGTGTGGTCTTGGGGACCCTGCGGCCCCCCTCCTCCTCTGGCCTGGCTCCAGGCAGTCGCACCCTTAACACCCCGACATCTGAGTTCATTCCCATGGTCTGTGCCGTGTTGGCCCTGAAAGCCATGTGGTGCCTTTTACCCTTCTCTGGGACGCCTTCTGTTTGGGGTGATTCCTGGACAAGACATTCAAACACAAAGCTCCCTGGAAAGACACGGCTCCCGTACGCGGCTCCGCCGTCATTGACTGTAGACAATTAGTATAAAACATGTTATTACCCCAAGAGGCAGCGAAATGCCCGCACCTTCTCCGCGACACAGTCAGTCGGTTTTATTGGCAGGATGGGTTTATCGGCAAAGGGCACCTTGGTTTTCCAAATCATCGCACAGTTACGGGGACGTCTTCTCTGACCCCCTCTGCCGGGCGCCGCTCAGACCAGCTGGAATCACTCCCGGGAGGGTTTGTGCGTTAGGAGAAGTCGAAAGTGGCCCAAGGTCCTCTGCCCGCCACGGGCCTCAGGGTCCTGGATGCACTTTGCAGGGGGGTGTCAGCCGCTGGGGCCCAGCCAGCCGCACCAGGTCTCTCTGGAAATTCTCCGCACATGATGGTAGGGTTCAACGGGCCCACATTACTGGGGTCTCGGCAGGCACCCCACTGACAACAATTAACACGAAAAGGCGCCACTGTTTGAAGCTGGTGGGAATTACAAAAGGTTAAGAGACTAACTATAAACATCTTTTTGAACATGAAGTCATTGCGCTTTGTTGCTAGAAGCTGGGTGCTGGGATTGAACCGAAGTTGGGTTCAGGACCCCTGGAACAGTCCACATTCAGGATGTCGTCTTTTTTCTCAATGAAAAGCATATGTGTCCTTGGAAGTCCCGAAACAAGCCACCGAAACACCGCCCGGCAACAGGACGGGCCTTTTTCCCTGCAGACACCCTCCTCCTGACCCCCCAGCACTGCTGTCTGTGTCCATGGTCACACAAAGACGCATATAAGTTCTGTGGTTTCTCTCTTCCCTCCCTGCCCCCTCTTCTGAGGTCTGTCATCTGAACCCTACTTCTTTCTATGTCTCTGGGTCTGTTTTGTTCATTTTATTCCACAAGTAAGTGAGATCAAGTGTCTTTCTCTGATTGGCTTATTTCGCTTAGCAAAACGCTCTCCAGGTCCCTCCATGTCGTCTCAAAGGGTAAGAAAGCTTTCTTTCTTACAGCTGCATAGTACTCCATTGTGTACATGTACCACTGCTTTTTTATCCATTCATCTACTGATGGACACTTGGGCTGTTTCCAGATCTTAGCGACTGTAAACAGTGCTGCTATGAACATGGGGGTACATATATTCTTCCTGATTGGTGTTTCAGGCTTCTTAGGGTACATTCCTAGAAGTGGGATCACTGGATCAAAGGGCAGTTCAATTTTTAATGTTTTGAGGTAACACCATAGTGTTTTCCACAGTGGCTGCACCAGTCTGCATTCCCACCAGCAGTGTACTAGAGTCCCCTTTTCTCCACACCCTCGTCAGCTCTTGTTTGATGATTTGTTGATGGCGGCCATTCTGGCAGGTGTGAGGTGATACCTCATACTCCTTTTAATTGGCATCTCTGATGATTAGTGACGTTGAGCATTTTTTCAGGTGTCTGTTTAGGTCCTCTGCCCATTTTTTAATTGGGTTCTTTGTCTTCCTTGTGTTGAGTTGTATGAGCACTCTCTATATATTGGAAATTAACCCCTTATCTGACGTATCATTGGCAATGATGCTCTCCCATACAGTGGGTTCCCTTTCCATTTTGATGGTTGTTTCTTTTGCTGTGCAGAAGCTTTTTAGGTTGATATAGTCCTATGTGTTCATTTTTTTTCTTTGTTTCTCTTGCCTTAGGCGTTGTATCAGTGAATATTCTGCTGTGTGTGATGTCTGACATTTTGTTGCCTACATTTTCTTTTAGGATTTTTATGGACTCACCAGTCACATTTAAGTCTTTTATCCATTTTGAGTTCATTCTTGTGTATGGTGTAAGTTGGTGGTTTAGCTTCATTTTTTTGCATGTAGCTGTCCAATTTTCCCAACCATTTATTAAAGAGGCTGTCTGTACTCCACTGTATGCTCTTGCCACCTTTGTCAAATATTAATTGAGCATAATGTCTTGGGTCCATTTTCAGGTTCTCTGTTCTGTTCCTTTGAGCTATATGCCTGATCTTGTGCCAGTACCAGCCTGTTTTGATTACAGTAGCTTTGTAGTATAACCTGATATCCAGTATTGTGATCCTTCCCACTTTGTTCTTCTTTCTCAAGATTGCTGTGGCTATTTGGGGTCTTTTTTGGTTCCATATAAACTTTTGGAGCATATGTTCCAGTTCTGTGAAATAATGTCATTGACATTTTAATGAGGATTGCATTGAATCTATAGATTGCTTTGGGTAGTATAGGCATTTTAATGATGTTAATTCTTCCAATCCATGAACAAGGTATATGGGAAGCCGAGTTTTTAGAGGGTTTATTTTCTTAATTGCCTATCGGATAGGGAGGAAGGACTCTGAGCCGAGAACCTGGTCCCAGTGGGAGTGGGGTGAGAGCCAGCTCCTGAGTGGTGGGGGCGGGGCTGAGACCCAGAGGCCTGGCCCAGTGGGTGGGTGGTCTTCGGGGCTCCCCTCCTCTGTGCAAGGAGTCGGGTTCCACACTCCAGGTTTGGAAGCATGCAAGGGGCCATGCCTCCTTCCACCCAGAGAGAGCTGGGGGTGCCGGGGGAGGGGCGCTGAGTGGCAGACCCCAGCTGTGGCACGTGTCTCGAGAACACGCAGAGACGTGGAAACACAGGCAGTGACTTCAGATGTGAGGCTGTGAGCCGTGCACGCTTGGCCCTCGAGGTGGCTGGAGCCTCCTTCCGGCGTCTCCTGGCACAGCTGCTCACAGGGGCGGCCAGAGCACCTGTGGCACAGGTGCTACTTCCAGGTGGTGCTCCCAGGGGTGGCTGCACATTGGCTGCACATGCCACTCATCAGGCAGCCCCGCCGTGCTCCGGTGCTGACCTCCCGTCCAGCTGGGACGCCGAGGACGACCACTCGGAACAGACCCGTGGCTCTGCCTCCACCCACCTGCTCAGGACCTGCAGTGTGAGAGCATCCAGGGCCAGGGTGGCGGATGAGGGCCTCTTCTCGTCCTCGAGTGACCCTGTGGTGGTGTGGAGCACCAGCTCCTCACCCCCGGCACTTGGCACTGGCCCTGGCCATCTGGTGGGCCCCGCTCCCTGGGACCCTCATGAGCCGGACGCCCCACTGGCAGGACGGCAGCCATCTCCCACACTCCCCGCTGCTGGTCTGAGACCCGAGCACCTCCACGGCCCACTGGGACATCTCCCTCGGGTTGGAGGGAGAGGCGCCGCGCCTGGTGGGGCTCCCCAACCCCTGCGCTCCCAGCGGGGCCCAGGCGCCGCCTGACAATGGGCTGCTCATCTGAATCAGAGCACTTGGTGGAGAGGCTGCTGGACACGGAGCCCCTGCTCTCCCTTCTCAGGACCAGAACCAGGGTGCAGATGGCAATGGCGTTCCGTCTCCCTGTGGCCTGGCGAGGTGTGGTGCCGGAGCTCCCGAGTGCCTCAGGCTTCCCCTCCGCTAGCGGGGACAGGGGTGTGACGGCTGGTGCTCCTGCAGCCCCCCAGGGCCAGGGGCTGCCTGGTGATCGGGGAGGCCTGCCCCCGCCTCTGGACTTTGAGGTGAGATGTATGTCCACAGAGGGGCTCCCTGGTTCAGCTGGAGTGGCTAGTCCTGCAGAACATTCGGGGTGAACTGTCCCACAAGGGAAATGCCAGTTTTAGAAGAAAGAGTGGAGAGGGGCCCCTTCCTGCCCACCCCCTGCCGTGATGGGGGCAGGAGGGGACAGCGCAGTGGGGTGCCCGGTCAGCAGTCCTGGATCAGATGCTGTTGTACCCTCACTTTACAGAAAAGGAAAAGTGAGGCCCAGGGAGGTGCAGGCAGGAGATGGTGGAGAAACAGCCACGCCCACTAGGTCCCAGATGCACCTGGGGCAGGACCAGGGCCCCACGCGGCCTCCACGGGGCCAGGATTTCAGCGGCAGCTGGGATGCTGAACGGGTGTCACAGGAACAGAACCATGCCCCCCCCTCCTGTGGCCAGACACCCCGTGCTGCCAAAGCCAGGGCCCTGCCGGGAGGCACCGGTGGCGCCGAGTAGTACAGCCCAGGTCTGGGCCTGGTCTCCTGGGCCATTGGCCTGAACCCCTCGAGCAGGAGGCGGGGCACACCAGTGTTTTTACGCAGAAACATGAGACCTGCTCATGAGGCCACTGAAATTGCTTCTGTAAGCTGAGGGGAGGGCAGACGATGGGGTCGTGGGCCAGGCCCCCCAAGTTTCCCCAGGACCAGCTGCCCCCCAGGAAACGTCCTGGGGAAGGGACAGGCCCCATGTCCTTCCCTCTGTCAGGGTCAGTCTGGACGTCTGTGCAGTCACAGAACGTTAGCTTTGCCCATGACCCTCCCCACGCGTCCAGGGTGGAACCCTAACTGTGGGGTTGGGGGCTCTTCACAGGCCGAGGAGAGAGCATGAAGGTCCCCAGGCCTGGGTGTGTGTAACTGCCCATGGGGACCCCGAGCCCGCTCACTGAGTCACACTGCTCCCCGCCAAGGTTTTGGGGGCAGCCATGCTTCCATGGGACAGCACAGGGGCCCAGGTGGCCCCCAAACAAGGCATGGCTGGGATGCCTCCACCAACTCATGTTCCCTGCTAGGAGCTGGGTGCATTTGCGCGTGAGGGGCGCTGAGGGGCAGTGGGGGCGCTGAGGGCTCTGTACCCCCAGCCCGGGAGGCGGCAGTGGCACTCCAGCAGCCCGGCTAATCCCGGGTCAGCTGTGGTGAAGTTGGTGGTGCCTGCCTGTCTGGTGGGCACAGGGCTCCGGGGCCACATCTCCAGGGCAGCCGGGAGCCAAGTCCACATAGAGATGCTGGCCCGGCGGGACAGGGCTCAGCCAGAAAACCAGGCGAGCGTGCAAAACCATTAGGGCTGCAGGCCGCGCAGGCAGCCGGGACACCGGGGCGGGGCCACAGGGTGGGCGTCACGCTGGGGCGACCCATGTCCTGTCCAGGCTGACCGCAAGCCCCTCCAGGCCAGCCCCTTCTCACAGACCCAGAAGCAGCCCTGAGACCACCGCCCAGGGCTGCGGCCACCACCAGACTGCGGGAGTGAGGAGGAGCGAAGGGCCCCGTGCTGCGTTCACGCGGCGCCAGGACTGCTCACCCCACCGTGGGCGCTGGGTGTGCGGGGAAAGGGCCTGGACGCCCAGGGTGCACAGTCAGCCTGCCAGCTCACCCGGCGCAGGGCAACCGGCCAGGACGGTCCTGTCTGCTGGGCCTGGGCACCGCCCCCGGACGTCCGGTCGCCCTGCTCACTGTGCCCAGGTTCTGGGCACCTGCTATTCCCAACACACTGCCCACCTCTGACCACTCGGTGAACTCCACTCACCAGGCAGACGGCCGGGGGGCTCACCCTGGCCATGCAAGGTGTCCGGTGTCAGCGCCGCCCCCAGGTCCCCCTCGGGGGGCAGTGAGTGGGCCCCGGCATGTCCCAGGGCAGCTCTGGGCTCCAGGTCTCTGGACGTGGGGCTCAATAACGGGTAGGTGATGCACTCGAACCCACTGCGAAGGGAACACAGGCTGGGCTCAGCTCGGCACCAGTTGGCTGACTCCTGGCTGTGGGGGACACGGTGGCCCGGGGCCATCCCGGGGGGGGGATCACTGGGGACCACCTGAGACCACACGATGGGGGGCAGCCCCACTGGGTGTCCGAGGAGTTCTGCTTCCCCTCTGCTAGACTGAGTGGATGTCTCTGGTGGCTGCGTGTCCAGGGCTGGGGGCCGCGCGGGGAGGCCCAGGTGCAGCAGCGTGGGGCGTCCCCTCCAGCTGAGGAAGCCCTTCCCTGCCCCGGCACCTGTGCTCACAGCGGGGTCTGGATGGGCGCCTCCTGTCTGTCCTCGTCCACTCTGAAGAAGCTGACCTCCGAGCGGGCTGGCAGCTGCACGGACCTGACGCCCGCTGAGATCTTCAGAACCCGGCCGTCCTCACCTTCCAGGAGGAGAGAGAGACTCGGTGCCAGGGGCAGGAGGGCTCAGAGCAGCGGAGGAGCACCCTCAGCCTGGCCCGGCCCGGCCACGTCCCACCCGAGCTCTCCGCACCTCTCTGCGTCCCTGCGCCTCCCAGCCCGGCACCAATAAAAACGTGTTTAATCAAACAAACAAAAGTAAACATAAAGACACAAACAGGTTGAGGGAAAGGACGGAGATGCTGAGACCAGACAAGGGAAAGCTCGGTGGCTGTGTCGACACCACAGGAAGCAGACGGCTGAGCCAAGACAACCACTGGGGATAAAGGCGATTTCACAATGATAAGGAGTCAAGTCATTACATGGCATAAAAATCCTACATGCTTATGTTCCTCCAGAGCATCGAGGTAACGAAGCAACAGTTGATAGAAATGAAAGCAGAAATACACCCCCCCACAATTATAATCTATAAATAATAATCAATTATGTCTATAATGGATAGAACAGGCAGACACAAACTCAGCAAGGGGTAGCAAACTCGAGCAACAACGGCAACAAAACACGCCCGATTGACTTTTAAAGAATATTCCAAACCAAAGAATATTCTCAGTGCTCACAGAACATGTCCCCAGACAGACCATACATATTCTGGGCCATACAACAGGTCTTGATAAATTTAAAAGGGTTCAAGATTCACAAAGTATGACTCTTACCACATGGAGTTAAATGAGAAATTATTATTAGAAAGATCTTTGGGAAATGAAACAATATGTTTCTAACTTACTCATGGGTCCAGTAAGACATCAGAAAGTATTTTGAATGGAATGGAAATGAAAGCACAAGATAGGAAATTTGCAGGATGCAGCTAAAGCAGTGCCTAGAGGGAAATTTGTAGCAATAAACTCCTATACTAGAAAAGGTCTGAAATAATCTTGCTTTCCACCTTAAGAACTAGAGAAAGGACGTTAAATTAAATCCATAGTAAGGAGAAGCAAGGAAATTAGTAAGGCCAAAATAAGAACTGATAAAATAGACAACAGAAAACAAAAAGTTGGTAGCTTATCAGTGAAATTGATAACCTCTAGCCAGAGGAGTCAGAAAGAGAAGAAGACAATAATTCACACTGGAAACAAGAGAGGTGATATCACTGCATCAAAGGGGCATGAACAGGCTTATGTGATACACCTGGCAACTTAGATGAGAGGGATGAGAGGACCTGAACGGGCCCGTGTGTCACAGACAACGCGGATGCCACGCACACCTTCGGGATGGTGCCCGTGAAGAGCGCTGTCTGTGGAGTGGAGTCAGGCCTCACGCTGTCGGTGGGACCAGAAACCAGTGCAGCCTTTCGGACAGCACTCTGGCAGCTCCTTAGAAGTTCAAACATAACATACCGTGCGCTCCAGCAACCCTGCCCACGGGTATTAAAGGAACTCACGCACCCACAGGAGTTTTCCCGGCAGCCCTGTTAAAGGAGCCGAACAGTGCGAACAAGCCGGTGGTCTGTCAGCGGTGGGCGGGTGACAGGCGTGGGGTGTGGACGTGACAGAAGACCACTGGGCGGGGCAGGAAAGGGGGCCCACAGGTGCAGCAGTGTGGCGATCCGGAAATGGTGTGAGTGGACGCAGGACAGCAGAGACACCCCCCGCACGACTCCCAGGAAATGCCCAGGGGAGGAAGGTCCACAGAGTGGGACGGCTCTGGCCTTGTGGGGCTGAGCAGTGGACGGGCGGTGGTGGGTTGAGGGGTCTTTCTGGGTGAAGGAAACTCTCAGTTGGCACTGTGGTGTGGTGGTGGTTGTCCGACTATAAATTTACTAAAATCATGGAATTGCTAATACAGACGAATTTTGTGGTATATAAATAATATCGCAACAAAGTTGTTGAAATAACCCGATCGTGACTGAATCTACGGGGCGCACACTGCACCTTGCAGCGTCCTCTCTGAAGCCCGCTGAGCGAAGGCGAGTCGCTGTGCACCGGGGATCTTGTGCATTTATTAGCCGGGGTCCTGCTCCCACGGTCTCTGGTGATGGGGGGGTGCCTTTCTGTGGGCACGCACGCCCGGTGGGAAGGGCTGTGGAAGTCGGCCTGTTCATCCCTGCACCGCCACAGGGCTGAGCGGGTCACTTAAGGAGCAGCCCAGACAGGTGGAAGTGTGTCCTTGCTTGATTACCCCCGGAGGACGAGGACCTCTCCTCTCAGGCTGAGACTGGCCCACGCAGACGCACGCTGGTGCACGCAGAGCCGCGGTCATCATCCTCTCCTTCTGTGAGCTGCGTGACAACCGCGGTGCACACGGGCACACAGAGCACGCAAGCTCACACGTGCTCACATGTGCTCGCATGCATGCTCACACGCTCACATGTGCTCACATGCATGCTCACACGTGCCCATTCACACACGTGGCTTCAGGCTTGGGAACCTGACACCTGACCCCTGTCTGTTCCTCTGGAAAGGTCAGCCACCATCTTGGGGATGCTTACTCTCGGCCACTGTCCCGTCGTCCTGCTGCAGCTGGACGCCCACCGTGAAGGAAGAGCCGTGGGCCACGTCCATCACCTCTGGGCCCAAAATCACAATCCTCGTGGCTTGTGCTGGGGGAGAGCAGAGGCGGGGTGACTGGGTGCTGTGCCACCCGCATGCCACCTGCGTGTGTCTGAGGGAGCCGCGGGTGTGGGTCCCAACCCCAGCAAGCCCTCTCCCTTCGGCTTCCCTGCCCCGGGAGGGGCTCTGCCTGCAGGCTGCACACCCAGGACTGCACAGGCCGGGTCCCCAGCCGGCTGCCCGTCAGCAAAGTGGCCCCAGCTGTCACTGAGACGGACAGTGCCGCCGTTCCGAGGTTGGCTGTGACGACCTGCAGCCGTTCTCTCGGGACTGACGGACTGCACTCAGGGGCCACAGAGTCTGCCCCGAGCTGGGGGAGCGGCCGCTCGGTTGGGATCACACTGGATGGACCGGCCCACCTACCCCTCTGCTGTCAGACTCGGGCCTGCATCTCCAGTGTCAGAGTCTGCCACTTGGTGTGGGTGGGTCCCCTGTGCCAGGACCCGCTGGGGTCTGCCCCCCAAGTGACAGCCTCACACAGCACAAGGCGGGGGGGAGCACGGGCTGAGGGCTCCTGGAGTTGCCAGCGACCCACCAGGCCGGGTACGTGAGTGCAGGGTCATGGGAGGACCTGCAGGACCTCGCCAAAGGACCTGGTGAGGCCTGGGGGAAGGTTGGGGGGCACCTACCCACCGGGTGGCCGTTGACCCACAGTCCCCTGTAGACGACCCCAGAGCAGTGGGCCATGCTGCCCAGGCCACTGAAGACGCCGCTGTGCCACTGTCCCTGCGGAGAACAGCCCGGATGAGTGCCGCCCGGTGGCAGCCGCGCCCCTCGTCCCCAAGCCCCAGGTCCCAGGGCCGCCGGAATCCACGCCATCCTGAGGGCGAGAAACTGCCCTGCCTTTGAATGTGGCCCAACTGCCAGCAAAACGCATTTCCCTCTGCTTTACGCAGCCAGGAAGTTTGGGCAAACGGCGCACACGGGACCGCACACAGAACACGCTCAGAGGGCACTTCCAGCACGAGGGTCCTTCCAGGGACAGACGCCCGAACCTGCAGGAGCCAGGGCCCCGGGGCCGGGAGCATCTGTCCTCGATAACGAGGAGGCCAATGAAGACCCGCGGGAACCACACCGCCAGCGTGCACGCGGAGACCGGCTGGCTGCTCCCCAGGCGGCTCCCCCGCCGCGCGCGCTCAGGGCACACAGCAGAGGGGCAGCAGGAAGGTCATTCCTGCGGACGTTTCAAGGTTGCAGTGGCTTCTGATTGCGGATTAGTCATCGTCAGGAGAAATGTAGCTGGCGGGTTCAGGCCTAGTTCCCCTTTTGCAGAAACTGACGAGGCCCTGGTTCCTGCCTGGCCCTCCAAGGGGCCCAGAGGCTCAGCACTCCGCGGGGCGCAGCCGGGGTGCTGCCCACAGGGGACCCCAGTCTCCAGGACGTGAATTGCACGCTTGGGGAAGAAACACAGTGGAGGAGCGTGGCCGAGGCCGGGCTCCAGCTCCAGATGCTCAACTTCTCTCCGGCCCAGGAGGGGCTGGTGCAGGCGGGCCTGTGCGACTGGCCCCTGCAGCCTGCAGCCCTAAAGAGCTCAGACACCCCAAAACCCCGGGAAAGCACTTTCCACAGGCTGTCTGGAAGAGGCAGGCACTGGGTACCAGGAGCTGGGCAGCTAGACCACGTTGAGAGAGGCCTCCAGCCCCAGCTCAGCAGCTCAGCCTCCAAGCTGGGGCGCCAGACCACGGGCAGCTCTGTGGGTGCCTGGCAGCGGCTGAGAAACAACAGCTCACGGCTGCGGGAGGGGCTGGCAGCCAGCCGCAGGTGCCAGGTGGGCAGAGGTGTGGCTGGCCCCACAGGAGGCCTGGTGGCCCAGGAGCTGCAGGGTCAGAGAGCTGAGTCAGCCGTGACGGCTGGCACCTCCCGAGCCCACGCACCAGCTGCGTCTGGAATGCTCAGTGCCAGGCGTGCAGGCGTGCGGGTGGTTCACCCACGTCCCCTGAGATGCATGGGCTCCCCCGGGACTGCAGCCACCCCCCCGGGGCGCTGTGCTCCCCTCCGGGGCTGATGGGGCGAGGAGGAGCCCACCCAGCAGTCGCAGAGGGCTGCCTGTCCCTGGTGCCAGCCTCCAGCAGCATCTACGGGTTCGTAGGGCTGCCAGGATGGGCACTGCACACGTGTCTGCGTGGGTGTCGTGTGTGGGCATCCGCGTGTGCGTGAGGCGGGGGCTGTCCCTGGGTCAGGGTGGGGACAGCCCCGGGCGGGCACAGCACCCCAGTTCCTATTTGCTGGCAGGTGGTGGGTAACCTTTGCTGGTGCAGAAGCTGCTGGGTGCTTCCCTCCCTCCGGGAGGTCCCCTCACTCCCTCAGTTCTGGGCAAGTCCTGCAGCTCCCTTCCCTGGGTCAGGGTCATGCCTGTGCCCCCCGATGGGAGGCAAGCTCCCTCGAGCAGGACGACACCCCTGGTACGGCTCCATGAGGAGGACGGGGCTCCAACGACCATGGACTGGCCACCTCCTCTCTGCTCACCCTCGGTGGAGGAAGGAGGGCTGGGAGTGGGTCAGAGCCTCGGGGGGCAGCCCGCAGGGCGCGGGGCTCAGGGCTCCAGCAGGGCTGATGGGAAGTTGCCCGACGAGCGAGGGTGCAAACTGGGTCAGTGTGCCCGCCAGGCCACAGAGCCACCGACACACCGAGGGCTGGGCGGAGCCATGCGCAGGCTGGCCGAGCGCAGTCCTGGCTCCAGTGCAGCACTCGCAGGACACGCCAGCGAGGGGCGTCACGGCAGCGTGGACCCCTCGTCCACGGTGCAGGCCGCACCTGGAAACCGCCCTTCCCCAGCTATGGGGCACGTGCCCAAATGTGAACAGACGTGAGGAACAGGACGAACGTATCTCAGCGAGGAGGTGGGCCCCGTGGTGTGGGAGCTCCTCACAGAGCACGGACCGGACGGGACGGACACATCACTGCTGTCCCTCCGCCCTGCCTGGGTGAGGCAGGCATGACACAGGCGGAGGGGACGGCTGGTGGCCAGCGCGGGAGGCTACTGGGGCCTGTCTACACTGCAGATAAAGCGGACAGTGGGGTCCAGCGTGGGGAAGGTTTGGCCAGCGAGGTGTGCCTGCTGCCTCCCCGACACGGGCTCCGCGGGGCTCTTGGTGTGGGCGTGGCTGGACGGTCCAGATCCCGCTGCTGGCCTCTGTGATGGCCCTTGGCCTCCACACGTGGGGAAGGGGCGCGGGGCGCCCCAAATGCGTCTGAGTGAACTGGGAACGAAGAGCTCGGTGCTCCTCTCGGGCAGCTCCCTGCCGGCCGAGGCGCTCTTCCGTGCCTGTGACCCCTGGCAGACCTGGGGCTGCACCTGGGCCATGCGTGCCAGCCCAGGGCCTGTCCCCTGCAGGGGGTGGCTCCCCTGCTGTTACAGACCCAGGGCCCGAGGGGGACTCTGAGATCACAGGCTCACAGGCAGGGTGGCCCAGGGCCTGGTCACCTGCCTGGCCCTGCGACTGTCCAGGGCTGGGGCCCCCACTTCCGGGCATGTCGGGGGCACGAGAGCGGGGCCCACACCCTGTCTCCACAGGCACGTCCCAGTCGCCAGCAGAGTCCGGGGTGTTGGAGGTTCCTCCGACTTAAAGTGGGATCTGTGACGAGTTTCACTGATGCGAACACAACTGCCGTCCTGTCTGGTGACGGCCGCCACAGAGCCCCACAGGGAGCGTGGGCCGAGCACTGGTCCCACGATGTCTGGGCCGCCCAGACCCGTCTCCCACGCACAGCCGAACCAGCCCAGCTGCTTCTCCCCGCCCGTGCTGTGTGCCTCTGGACGGGGCCTCCTGGCCGAGGATGGTGACAGAGGCACAGAGGCCCTGGTGTCTGCAGACGCAGGTGAGGAGCAGGGGGCTGGGGCTGGCGGGTAAAGTGTGTAGGCCTCCCCCGGCTCTGTGCCCCGAGCAGGGGTGCCGCCCCGCACGCCCCCGGGAAAGCCGAGCGGCACGCAGCCAGCATGCGGGGAGCCCCGCCGGGAGCCACACCCCAGTCACACTGGCCGAGGTTCCCCACCGGCTTGGCCACCTCCCTCCACCAGGCGGGCTGCTGGTCCCCCAACAGTGTGAACACACTTAGCGTCACTAACTGCGCACTCGAGAGTCAAACGATGAATTTCACGTCATGTGTATTTTGCAACAAAAACGTTTGAACAGCCCTGGCCGGTCTGGCTCAGCGGCTGAGCGTCAGCCTGCGAACCAGAGTCCTGGGCCGGCTCCTGCCAGGGGCACGTGCCTCACTCACACTCACAGTTTAAACAGGGTCAGAACTGTGTTCAGGGGAACCCAGGGAACAGCGGCCCCCGGGGACCCGCACTTCGGGGCCCATCTCCCTCTCGTGGCTCCATGCTGGCCGGTGACCTTTCACACCCAGAGGTCAGAGTTGGGCCCAGGAGGCACCCCCACAGCGCGGAGACGGGGTACAGAAGACGGCTGTGCTGAGTCCACGCAGCGAGCCCGAGCCGCCCACACGACCTCTGCCTGCCGCTCACCCCGGTGACAGAGGGGGCTCCTGTCTCACACAGGAAGGGTGAAGGGTCCTGGTGGCCGGAAACGGGCCTGGGCACAGTGCTGGGCCCGGAGGCTGGACTGGCCTTTCCGCTCGCCCCGAGTCCACCTTGGAGGGTGCTGGGGCCGAGTGCAGGCACTGAGCCAGCGCGGCCTCCCGGACTGTGCCAGGTGGGCCCCCTGGCCGCGTCTGTGATGTGGCGAGGCAGCTGCTCAGTCCCGGCCCCGCCTGCTGGCAGGACCCGCGGGCTAAGGCCGGGGCTGCCCATGTGGACACTGGCCGGGCACCACGCAACCCTGGGACAGGGGTCCCGCCTTGGGCTGCAGCCCTGTCACCTGCTGTCCTGAGCACGAGGCTCCGGAGGAACGGGCTCTGGAAGGGGTGTTGCCGAGCAGGGAGAAACGTGGGCAGTGTTGGAGCCTCGGGAGCCTGAGGGGAGACCAAGCTTCCGCCAGGAGGGACGCTCATCTGGAGGGTGCCCCACGCCAAGGACACTGCTGCCTCCCTCCAGGGCCTGCGGGATCCTGGGGCTGCAGCCCAGGGCACCCCAGCCCACGTCCAGCCCTGGCGTCAAGGTGGAGCCACGGCTACTGGCAGGGCTGGGCCGCCCCCTGGTGGCAAGCGGGCAGGTGGCAGGCACCGCGTAAGCCTGGCATATGCAGGGGCCCATCCCACACCCCGGCCTGGCAGCTGAGCCAGTTTGCAGGGGAGACCCGAGTGGGGCCCAACAGCGCCCAGACCACAATGCCCAGGGGCAGCCACAGCCCGCAGTTAGGCTCTGAGGTGGCCCAGAGGCCTTTGGGGACACAGCTTTTCATCACCTCCGGAAGGCCTAGCTCTCAGCCAGCCCTGTCCAGCCCTGAGGGGCTGCCTGGCCTGCATGCCGGCAACAGCACCCCAGTGGTGCCCGCAGCCCGGCATCGGGGGCCTGGGAGCGGCTGGAGGCGGCTCCAGCACTCACTCCCTGCGTGGGAGCCTTGGGGCCCTCTGTGCCTCGTTTCCTGTCTACGGAGCGACAGCCCTTCCTGCAAGGTGTTGGGAGACTGGTGCACGGAGAGCTCACACAAGTGACCAACTCAAGAGGGGCACTCTCGACCCTCGACCCAACCCCTGGCCAGCCCGCCCCTGAGCGACCCCAGGGTGGCGGAGCACGGAGGAAGGTCTGCCCGGGCCTCCCTGCGGTCGGTCCCCTGGCAGTGCTGGGCTTGCGGTGTCCGTGGCGAGCCCTATGTCTGGCCCTGAGCCTTGATGGACGTCCCCTCAGACAGAGGAGACGAGCTCCTGTGGGCACAGCAGCCACCACCGCACCGCCCAGAGCTCCGACGACACTCCTGGATGGCCCCGCGGTGGCTTTGGGGGGCACAGGCACCACCACCGCCCAGCTCAGGTGCTGCCTCAGTTCCCTCACGTCCACGCGATGTCTGCCAACAGGCCAGCACCTCGCCCTCCAAACCCCCAACGGCAGTGCACCCCAAGCGGGTCACCGGCACCTGTCCTGCTGACCACAGGACTCAGAATAATCTGAGGGGCCGTCCCGCCCAGCGGTCAGACCACCAGCTCCCTGCTTCCAGTCCGCGGGGGCCCAGGGCCCTGTCACTCTGCCGGGACCTCCGGGGGTCCCCAGCGCAGCCGCCTGCCCGCCCCTCCGGCTGCCTGCGGCGCTCTCCCCGCGGCCCTCAAGGTGCAGCCCCTCACCACCCCTCAGGTCTCAGCCGCTCTGCAGGGCTGGCGGGGCTGCGGGTGCACGCGTGGGCGCCCTGCCGTGGGCAGAGCCAGCACGCAAGACACACGGGACAGCGTCAGGGAGAGGGAATGGCGGGCCCTGTGGCCCGAGAGGCTCCCAATACCCCTGAACCTCTTCACCCGCATGCAGCCCAGAGCACCTGAGGAGACACCCTCTGGCGGCGTCCGGAGGAGGGTGAGGGGCACAGCGCCGGGCATGGGGCGCCTGCCGGCTCCAGGCCACCGAGAGGCATCTGTGCCCAGGGCCTCGCTCGTCAGATGCTTCCTGAGCAGCCAGGCCCAGCGGAGCAGAAGCGGCAGCCCCGCATGGCGACGGTGGGGGGCTGTGGGGGCTCAGGAAGTGGACCGGACGGGGGAGCACCTGGCCTGTAAGCTCCCCCAGTGCAGTGGGGACGGTGGGGGGCTGCGGGGGCTCAGGAAGCGGACCGGACGGGGGAGCACCTGGCCTGCCAGCTCCCCCAGTGCAGTGGGGACGGTGGCCACCCGCCCGTGAGGAGGCCGCCCAGCACCCAGGCCCCGCACCTCGTAGGTGGAGCCATCCGCGAAGCGCAGCACGCCGTGGCCCTGCCGCTGGTCCCGAACCCAGTCGCCACGGTACTCATCGCCGTTCCTGAGGGACAGACGTGGCTGCTCTCAGGCCCGGAGTGCGGTGGCAGCCCTGACTCAGACCAGCCCCTCCGACTGGGCTCAGCACACGCCATGGGGACCGAGGCAGAAACAGGCCCCGAGCAGACGGCCCAAGCTGCTGTGGTGGGGGGCCAGGCTGCCGAGGGGAGCAGGCTGGGCGCTCGGGGGCTCGAGGACAGCCGCCAGCCCTGACGAGCACGAGGCCCCGGGCCCTCAGGGGTGCAGGACTGGGAGAGGCCGAAGGGGAGAAAAGGGGGAGGCGAGCCTGCAAATCCCCAGGGCCGGGTTCGGGGTGAGTGAGTGACCCGGGAATTGGAGAGGCCTAGTGTCCAGCCCATGGCGGGGGCGCAAGAGGCCTCTGCAGGCCGCACCCCACTCTCCCGTCCCCAGAGGTATTCTGCTGGGGGTCCAATGTTCTCCTACTAAACACACCGACAGCCAACTGCGGTGACCGCGGACAAGTGCAGAATCTCCCCCCACAGTTGGCTGTGATGATGGGCCCTGGGCTGGGGTCAGGCCTCGGCCACACTCACCGAAAGGCCGCGTGCCCTTGGCCGTGCCGCTTGTTGTTGTGGAATGACCCCTGGTACACGTGTCCGTCCTGGTCCACCAGACAGCCGTGTCCTGGGAGTGGAGAGGCCAGTGTCACCCTGCGCCGGCTGCAGGTGGAGCCTCTGGACAGGAAGGTGGCCAGGACAAGGCAGGACCCACAGGACCCAGCACCCGAGCCCAGGAGCCGGCCCTTCAGGGGATGGAGTGTGCGGTTGGGACGGTGCTGGCGGCCACAGTGTGGGTGGAAGCGCCGGAGTGAGGGCCTGAGACCCACGCGGAGGCAGAGCGCCCTGCTGTCTGCGGGGTGCCGCTGCCACGCGGTCCTGACTGTGTGCAGGCGTGTGCGTTTGGGGACCAGCAGCGGGACTGGATGGCCGGCTACAGGCAGAGGAGACGCTGTGAGCCGGTGACCGCAGCCACGGCTCTGGACAGTCGGAAGTGTGAGGCCACCCCTGCTCCTGACGTGAGCAGGTGTTTGCACGTCTGTGACTTCCCTGCGTGCCTCTGGGGGCAGCTGGGCTTCTAGCAACTGTGAGCCTTTGGCTCTGCGCCATGCCCATCGACCGCCCACCCTCCTGGGGCACGGTCTGCCCCCAGCCCCCAAGTGTGGCCTGTGGTCTCGCTCTGTGCAGCAGGGTGAGGACGTGGCTGCGCTGAGGCCTCCACGGTGCTTGCAGTGGCCCTGGGAGCCCTGAGGCCTTGGCGAGGACCCTGGGGACCACCAGCCCTGGTCCCACCGTGCCTGCAGCCATATGTATGGTGACCCCGCTCGAGGCCAGAAGACCTGTCCAGCTGAGCCCAGGCCAGCCTGCTGACCCCAGGACTGCAAGCCACTAGATTTTCGGTGGCCTGTCTCACAGCAGCGGCCGGCGTCACAGACGGCCCCGCACACACGGTGCTGTGCCAGGCACGGCTCCAGGGGCAGAGAGCAGCACTGTCACCTCCTTCCCACCTCCAGTCAGGCTGGCGCCGGGCTCCGGACCCCAGGGGACACAGGCACCTTGGTCAGAGCACAGGCCCCCGAGCCCGCCCAGCCCACTGGGGCAGAATGTCAGTGGGTGCCTGGTGCCTGGTCAACACGCCGAGTCCCGCTGATGCCAGACCTTGTCTCACGCCGTGGGACAGCTCCCCTTCGTAAAGTCCTCCGGCTCCGTACTTCATGACGCCGTGGCCTTGCGGCTCTCCCAAAACAAACTGACCAGAATAGGTGTTCCCTGGGATGGATGAGGAGGAGGGGAAATGAGCGTTCAGGGTCCGAGCTGTTTCCCGTGTCCCCTGCCCGTCCCCTGAGCAATGGTGGCAGCAGGGCCATTTCAGAACAGTCTATTACTGACTCTGGTTTATGAGGGAACATAGGACCAGGTGGGTCCGGACCTGCCCTATTGGTTCCTGCAAAGTCTGCTGATCCTCGGTGGGCACCGACATACACAGGGTCTGTGGGGTGAGCCTTCTCTCCACTAAGGACTGACTACCGCCCTTGCCCACGAGGGTCTGAAGGTCTGGAGACAGCCCTGGCCAAGCTGTGGGCAGCATGTTGCCACCCTGCTCCAGGCTGGCACCTACTGTTACAAGATGCCTCAAGGAAACCAGGGTCCCCAGTGTACAGATGGAAGTGCCTTCCGCACCCAGAGGGAGATGGTTTACGAGAAGGGAGTCAGCGTGTCGCCACGCGTCTCCGGAGCTGACCTGTCGCGGCCCAGTACCGGCAGCCTTCTCCTGTGATCTCCCCGTCCACAAACTCTCCTTCGTAGTAACTTCCGTCCTTAAACAGCAGTTTCCCATGGCCTGGTGAAAGAAATTGGGACGTGACGTCACACAGCGGTCAGGAGTGATCACGGGCGCCCGCACGTGGCCGGCTGTTTTTCAGAGAGAAGAGCTGGGCTTCGAAGTGCTCAGGTCGCTGCGTGTGGCTCCTTCTCCGCCCAGCACCCGCATATGCACCGGCCAAGAAAAATGTTCCTGACACAGGACTAAGCACCCTGCTGTCCTGGCCGGGTAACTGCAGACCCGCTGAAAGTGCAGAGGAGACCCCTCCCCTACACCTCCTCTCGAGGGACACAAGGGCACCTCGCCCCCGTCGGTGCGGGGGCAGAAGGAGACAGTCTGTGGACACAGGTGACACTGGAGAACGCATTTCAAAAAGAAGGATCCATTCAGTGTAGGCCAGGCTCTGAGAAGTCTCAAGTACCAGTCTCACGCCCAGCCTGGAGGAAGAGCTGGAGATCTGAGTAAAAGGGAGACGTCTCTGTGTGACAAAAACACTACAATAAAAGTCAAAAGGTTAAAATTATAGAAAATACTGGAGCCAACAGGTACAAAGCTCCTAGAAGAAAACAGCAAAGGACCGAATCTCCCGCAGAAAACCAACGGAGGGCGGGTGTGAGCTGGCAGAACCCACACAGGCAAAACGTGAGCAGAGCTGTGGACTGTCTGGGTGCTGCCTCTGGGGAAGCCTCCAGATGACTTTTACTGACACTGCCTCTGTGTCTGAGACTTTCTACAGGAGTGGGTGAGCCTTTCTCATAGAAATAAATCATGAAGACAACTGCTGTCACTTTAACTTGGGCAAAGACGAACCAAGACTCCAGGGAGGATTTCCAAGTTGCGGTTTCCCTGCCTCTGAGAAGGTGGCAGACCGAGAAGTCATCTTGTCCGGGGAGCCCCCACGCCACAGGAAATGGTGTTTCCTGGACAACAGCGACAGCATGAGGGCCCAGTCCCTCTGGCACCCAGTGCCACCTGACCACCCCAAGCTTCCGAGGAAATGGGCTGCCAGCTGCCAGACGCTTCTTACCGTGGGTCTTCCCTCCTCTCCATTCTCCTTCGTATCGAAAGAAAGAATTAGGGTATATGTAGATGCCATAACCTGAATATGGGGGGGAGAAAAAGGTGCAGAGGTGAGCCCCTGATACAGGTGATCTGGCTGACCTCCAACACACTCAGATGGGGGCGGTCTGGGGACACTGAGGGACAGCGTGCAGCGCCCTCTGGGGGCTCCCAAGGTGTCTGTGCCGGTCACCTCCTGTGAAGTCCCCAACACGGCTGCCTGAAGCTTCAGTCTGGGGACAGGACTTTTCCTGCTCACTGTCCACCCACCCACTCCTTTCTCCGTGCACATGGTCAGTGCGGAGAGGCAGGCCCAGTGGGAGGCCTCGAGAGGCGCAGCGGTGCGGGGAGCGGTGAGTGGGAGGGTCGGGAGCCTCCCTAAAGAGGGGGCTTTGAGCTGAGCCTACTTAGCCGGAAGGTGAGGGCCCAGAGGGGGAGGAAGCCGGCCTGCACTGCTCTGTCGGTCAGGACAGAGCCCCGCTCCTGGCCCTCAGCTGCTGAGCGCACCAACCCCGCCTCCATCAGCCCCCTTGTAGGCAGGCACTTGGGGGAGCGGTTCTAGGGAAGTGTGGGCGTTACCAGACTCCTGCGTCTGCCAAAAACGGGGGTCAGGTTCACCCTGAAGAGTGGTTGTGGACTTGGGGTTCACTCCAGACCCTTAACTCGAAGACCAGTTCCTATCAAACCTCTGAACCGCGAGCCCAGGCTCGGGTCCCTCCCGGCTCGGTGTCCAGGCCCCGGGCCCCTCCCCCGCCCGCCCCGCGGGGCATCAGCACACACGGAGGCGCGGCCCCTTGCAGGGCCGGGGTGACAGGGCTCCGGGTGCCACCGGGGCTCGTGGAGGTTCGCGTGGGGAGCCCCGCCGGGATCGGGGGGCGCGGGTTCCGGCCCCGAGTCCCTGCCCACCTCCCTCCTACCCAGACGGAGCCCCCTCCCTGTGGCCCGACCCGGGCCTGCAGCCGTTACCGTTCTGCGGCGGCCGCCCGGGCGGGTCCCGACGCTGCAGGCGGGAGCTCCGGCTTTCTTGACTGGTGGCCGCCATCTTGCCGCTAGAGGGTTCCCTTGGCAACCACTAAGGCTCTTCTCCATTGGCTCGTTGGTTGCTAGGGGCGTGTCCGGAGGGGCCGTTCCTTGGGCGATAACAAGCTCTGGAGCGGCGTCGTCCGGGCCCGGAGCCAGAGGACGCGTCTACGCCTGCGCAGCATAGCGCATTTCCGCCGCTTACGTCCTTTCCGCCGAGAAAAGGCGCCCGCACCGGAAGCGGAAATGGTTGGAGGCTCTCGGCCCCGCCCCGGCGTCCATCTTGGAGGCCCGGAGGCGGCGCCGCGCAGTACGGGGCGGAAGTGCTCGCCTGCCCCTTCCCGGACCGAGCGAAGCGCCGGCGTGGCCCCTGCGCGCGTCCTCCTTCCCGCGGCCCTCGGAGACCGCGCTCGGCCGCTGCAGAGCCGCGAGGTACCGGCGGGCGGCCGGGGGCCGGGCCGGGGCCGCGGGGTCGGCGGGGTGATGGGCCCCGCCCGTCCCGCTGCGCGTCCTGGGAGGGGCTGGTCGCCCGCCCCGGGTGGCGAGGGGCGTCCTCTCCGCTCCGTCCGGTGTCCGGGCTGTCGCGCCCTTTGGGAGGCGTCCGGCCGCGGCCGACTTGCTCACGATGACACGTTGGTGGCAGCGCCCACTCGGTGGCACGGCCCCCGGTTCCCCGGCCTCGGCCTCCGTGGACGCGGGCCCAGCCCCGGCGGTTTCCCGGAGCGAGCGCGGCCCGCTCGGTCTGCTGGTGCCCGGCGCAGCGGAGTGCGAGGGGAGCCGCGGGAGTGAGCGGGCCCGGTGGCGGGACTCGCTCCCGCCGAGTGCAGGGTGGCCCCAGTCGGGGCAGCGAGGCTGGGCCGGGGCGCCGCCCCCGAGCAGGGGGAGCCCGCGGGGTCTGCGAGGGCTTTCGGCGGAGGCAGCAGCGCCGCCGGCCCACGGGGGGGGAGGGAACCCCGAGGTGAGCGAAAGGTGGCGGGAGCCAGACCTCCCCGGAGAGGCGGCCTCTGGAAGCTGGGCCCGCCCGCCCGCCCGCGCACGGGTTCAGGCGCGGTGCTCGGCCTCTGTTGTTTTTTTTTTTGTTTGTATATTTTTGTGTGATTGGAGTAAAGCAGCTACTTCTAGCTGCTAATTCACCCACCGCGCTGGGTCACAGGCCGTCCCCGGCGCCAGGCCCGGCAGCGGCCCAGACAAGCCCCCCCACGAGGAGCTTGCACTTCAGGTGGAGGGAAGAGCGACGAGCCAGAAGGAAGTGAGCGAGGGATGGTTACACAGACCGAAAGCAGGTGCTGTGACCCGAGGGGCTGGGTGGAGTTCTCTCTGAGCAGAGGGCAGGCCGCCGAGGGCAGAGCAGCTGGTGCTGGTGGCCCGCGTCCAGGACCAGCCCGGCACGGATAACCCCTCCACCGGGCGGCGGCGAGGGGCTGGGCCGGCTGCGTGCTGAAGGGCGCGTGTTGGCACCGTCACCCGGTCCACCACTAGGAAGTGAAAGAACCCGACCCGAAGAGCGAAAAGCGGCCTGTTTGACTCCAAAGTTCACGTTCCTAATGTTATTATTGACAGTGCGTTTAATGGAGACGCAGAGCCGAGTTCTCCTGTGTGTGCTTGGTCAGAGCGTCGAACCTGGCCGCTGTGCTTTCCGAAGGTTGTCCCAGTCACCTCTACTTAGAGGACATGCTTTCAGGGACAGTCAGGTAGTTGCTTTCTGACATCACACATTTCCTTAATTCAAGTAAAAAAACCTGTAACGGTAAATACTTTGGTCATAAAGTAAAGTAAGGGAAAATCTGTAAGAAACCCAGGGGTGAAGAATACCACTGGTGTAGCTTCTGCTGGCCTGGTTTTGGGCTGAACCAGGTGGCCAGCCGTCCCGTTACAAGTTCTAATGTAGCTCCCTTTGAAACACAAAATTTTCCCCAGTGGGATTTCAAGCTGCACCTCCTGAAAAGATGGGGGGACCGGGAGCTATAATCCTGTTCTGTTCAGCTCTTTGTCTCTGGTTTACACGTCTCCATGGGAGCAAAGGGCATTTCTCGGTCTCCTCCTGAGTGCTTCTTAGAACTCTGCCCCGTGCACAGGACAGCTTCAGGAAAAGGTGTCACGGAGGCACAGTTACACTTGGTCACACAGACTTGATGATTTGCATAGGGGGACTGCTCCGGTTATTTTAATATCGAAGTTGTAATTGGAAAGCATTTGCATTTGAGACCTAGGACCACGCCACCAGCCTGCTGACCTCCATTTCAAAAAGAGATGTCCCAAGTGCTCAAGGGGCGGCTGTGATTGGGAAGTGTGGGCTCGGGCAGAGGGGCAGGCGCTCCCCGCAGTGAGCAGGAGAGCCCATCAGTCTCGGTGTTCTCTCCGAATGGGAAGGACTGCTGTCAGCGAGCGCCGCTTTCCAGTTGAGGACACAGCCCTCACACCCACAGCGCAGGGGCCCTGAAATAAACCTGGCACCAGGTTGGTGCGGAGGTGGGGGCAGAGGTGATCTTTGTCCTGGCGTCTTCGCCAGCTTAGGAACAGCAAGCACCTTGGTCCTCTGGGCCCTTCTCATTCCAAGGTTCAGGCAGAGGCCTGCTCAGTTGGAGGAGGTGGTTCTGACCTTGGGCAAGTGGCTTAAACTAAGATCGAATCCTCTCTGGTAAAATGGGGTGATGATGCCCACTCACTGGGTTACCTGGGATCTCACAGGTTAACTCCTCAGGGAATCACAACAGCATGTTGAAACAGTCATGAGCAGATAGGATTACCTCCACTCACCGATAAGGAACTGGGGCACAGACAGCTGACTGCCTGAGGGTTGGATGTGACATTTTCCTCTGGGTGGAGTGGAGGATGTGGCCCTGAGAGGACCAGGAGATGCCTGGCTGGTTGCTGGCACCGTGGAGGGCAGCCTGGCTAGAGAAGAGGGGTGCTTTGGGGCCCAGGAAGTGGCAGGAGGACGTGCTGGGCAAGTGAGTCTAGGGAGTGGGGGCAGGCGTGGGTGCAGCAGCCCATGCTGTGGGCCGGTCCCAGGGAGGTGGGCACGGAACCATGTCCCAGGACTCCAGCGGCAGCTCCTGGGGACCAGCAAGAGGGGTATGATCTAGATGGCAGCAGCAAAAGTGGGTCCAGGGGCTGCTTGGCCTGTCCTGTGCCTTCCTGGCCTCCACCAAAGCATGTCGCCTGCTGCTCCATTTTCCAGGGCACTGTGGTCGAGTCGCCCAGAAGGGAGTGGGGATGGGATGTTGAATGCTGGGGAAGTGATTAGGTCCTGGGCCACTTTGTGATTGAAAGTGTTTGGTGTTTTCCTCAGCTACAGAATGTCCGAAGGTGACAGTGTTGGAGATTCCGTCCATGGGAAGCCTTCTGTGGTGTACAGATTCTTCACACGACTCGGACAGGTTGGTGTTTTCGTAGGTGTGCTGTGCAGATGTTTGAACAGGAAGCTGTTCACCAGGACATTGCCGCAGGGCGTGAGGTGCCACATGCCCAGTGCCTCAATGTTGACACTTTCAGGACCGGCTTTCCCTTGGCCGGGAGCTCACAGTGTCTTCTAGGAGGGCCGGACGTAAATGGGTTAGGCCTGGGGGCCACTTACAGTCTTTGCCACACGTTTGTTTTCTGGGCGGTTTTTCAACCTTTAATAATGTGAAAACCATTCTTAGCTCCCCAGATACAGCGGTGGTCCCTACTCTGATCTCGCTGTCCCCTTTTGCCCAGTGTGCACCTGGTGGCTGGACCCAGCCTGTGGCGTGAGAGCCAGCAGTGACCGGCAGTTCTCACACGGTCCTCGAACACCGTGAGTTTCAGTCTTAGGGGAAGAAGTCAAACTCAGTGAAGTTGCGTAGAAGACTATCAACTTTTAAAATTAAGAAAACATTTGAAAAACTTGATAGTTATTGAAGCTGGGTGATGGGTAATACATTCTATACTTTGTTTTTTTTTTTTATTCTCACCCGAGGACATTTTTCCATTTTTTGTTCAGGTACAGTTGGGGGGAGAGAGAGGAACAGAGAGAGAGAGAGAGAAACATCGATGTGAAAGGGACACATCGAGTGGCTGCCACCCGCACAACTGACCAGGGCCGGGGACAAACTACAACCGAGGTACACGCCCCTAGCGGGAACCGAACCCGGGTCTCTCAGGACCGCAGGCAGGCCGACGCTCTAACCGCTGAGCCAAACCGGTCAGGGCGCATTCTATACTTTGTGACTGGTTGAAAACTTTCATAATTAAAACCAAAAAATTAGCCCTGGCCGGTTTTGCTCAGTGGTTAGAGCATCGGCCTGGGGACCAGAGAGTCCTGGGTTCAGTTCCCACTTAGGACACGTACCTCGGTTGCAGTTTGTCCCCGGCCCCAGTTGGGGTCCTGTGGGTGGCAACCACTCGATGTGTCTCTCTCACATCGATGTTTCTCTCTCCCTTCCTCTCTCCCTCCTGCTCTATCTGAAGATAAAATACAAAACTGTTCTTGGGTGACGATAAAAAAAAAAGAAGAAAGAAGAAAAACTTAAAAATTAAAATTAAACAATTTCAACAGTAAAGTTGGACCACACACATATAGTAATTACACATGTGTACACCAACACACATGCATGTGTGTGTATGAAATGCAAGTCCTTCAGCACTCTGCTGCCGCTGTGGCACATGCTGCATGTCACGGGGCTCGGACGGCTCCTTGGGCAGGTGGGTGGAGCCCTGCCTGCAGGTGGCGACTCCAGTGTGTGTTCTCTTGCCCAGGGCCAGTCTCCAGGCTGAAGGGTCTCCCCATACTGAGCCCTCTGATGGATGCTATAGGACCGTCTGCTGTAAGACATTGTTCTGGCCCTGGCTGGTTTTGCTCAGCGATTAGAGCATAGGCCCGTGGACCAGAGAGTCCTGGGTTCGGTTCCCACTGAGGGCACGTACCTCAGTTGCAGTTTGTCCTTGGCCCCGGTTGGGGTCATGTGGGTGGCAGCCACTCGATGTGTCTCTCTCACATCAATGTTTCTCTCTTCCTTCCTCTCTCCCGCTCTATCTGAAGATAAATGCAAAAATGTCCTCAGGTGAGGATTAAAAAAAAAAAGAAAGAAATTGTTCTGTATTGTTTTTGCTTAAGAATTGGACCTGCCTTGAATTGTTGCCAGTAAACTGGAGGTTGGCCGTCGCTGCATTGCTCAGCGGCACGGCCTGAAGCAGATTGGGGAGGTGCGCTTTGCGGGAGGCATGAGGGTCTGTGTGACACATGCACTCTTGTCATCGTAGGTCTATCAGTCCTGGCTGGACAAGTCGACACCGTACACAGCCGTGCGATGGGTGGTGACGCTGGGCCTGAGCTTTGTCTACATGGTTCGGGTTTACCTGCTGCAGGTAGGTGTGGCCGAGGCGAGAGCCGTCCACGTCGCTGGAAAGTGGTGCTGGTTTTCTTCTGTCTCTGGATTAGGTGGGTTCGTGGTGAAGGAGATGGTTTCTAATTTCAGTTAAGCGCCAAACAAGAAAAATGTCCATGACTGTCTTCTAAAGCAGGATTGTTCCCAGTTCACCCTGCACCTGTCGTGCTCTGTGTAGCTCTCAGGAAGGTCCGCATGGCAGTCTGAGGCCTTGGGGCACCCAGGCTGGAGACCGGGGCAACAGAACCGTCTGGTCCAGCCACCTCATTCCCTGGTGCCATGTGTGCTGTGGGCTTTGGAGGGTCGAGCTGTGTGAACCGCCCCTTCTGAGGCCAGGGAGGAGGTCACCAGTGGGGCTGGTGACCATGACCGAAGGGGCCTTTGAGGCCTCTTTCCAGCTCAATGACGTCCGCCCAGATGCAACCTCAAGTGGGCTTGCTCTCTGGTGACCACCCGGTCCCTCGAGTTGTCTTGAGAGGAGGTCAGCTAACGTTCCCAGGCTCAGGCCTTGTCTCGGATTTTTCTCTGGAGCTGGACGATGATTCTTCGCCTATGAAACACCTTCCGCAGCATCGCCCAAGCCGAGGAGGGCACGGCCCATGGATGGACACGTTCTTCACTGGCTACGCTGTGTCCAGAGCTGTGGCAGTGCTCCCTTAGGCTGAGTGCGGACACATGTCTTGGATGTTGTTTCTGCATATCTGTCCCTGCTCGCCAGCCCCAGGTGCTTCTGGTGGTTCTGTGAGGGCGTCGGGCAGCCTGCAGGACTCGGTCTGCAGGAGGCCTGCAGTTCATGTTTAATTTATTGTCTTTGGTTTTAGTTTTCTTTTAATTGGAACTTGGTCCATTCTTCTCATGGAAAGAATGAACCAGAAACCTTGATGTAGAGCATTCGGGCAGGGGTCGTGGACTGTCCCAGTGACACCTGATGGGCGCCCTGTGCGGGGCCTGCCCGCAGAGCTGTGCGCGTCCCTGACTCTCACAGCTGGTTTCCTTGCCTGACTTGGAAGGCGTCCAGGCCTGTGCAGTGAGTTCAGGTGCAGGTGAGTGCGCCTGCCCCGCCGTGCAGCTCCTCCTCCACGGCTCCGGAACGCTGGGTGCAGAACGTCGCCAACCTCATTCCTCATTTCCTGATTTTCTGGTTCTGGGTTTCTTCTGGGGGAGAAGGAGACGTCCTGCGGAGTGTGCAACAGGCGCGCAGCAGGGCTGTCCGCCAGCATGTGCTGGGCAGCTGTGCAGCTCGGGCACCCGGCCTGGCGCCTGGCTTTGAGGACCCTCCTCTCTGCCGCAGTCCTGGTGGGAGCTGGTGGCCGCAGGTGTTTGTGCGTCTCTCTGGGGCCCCCTGGCTTGTGCACTGTGAAGACCCACAAAGCAGTTGGAGAAAAACTCAAACGTCACCATGGACATCACCGCACTTTGTTGTCACTTGTCGTGACTGCCCTGCTGTGAGATTTGTCTGCTGCTCAGTCCAGTTCACGCGATCTGGAGGCTCTGCCTGTGAACACGGGACTTGGTCCAGCGTCCGGACGGCGAGGCGCCCTGACCTTGCTTCCTTCTCTTCCAGGGCTGGTACATCGTGACCTACGCCTTGGGGATCTACCACCTGAACCTTTTCATAGCTTTCCTCTCTCCAAAAGTGGACCCTTCTTTAATGGAAGATTCAGGTAGGGGCGTGCCGTTTGCTGCTGCTGGTTCGGGGAGAGTTGTGATTTTGCAAACTTCACAGGGTTGCTCCATTTTCTCTAGAAATATCTGAAATCCAAACTGTGAGACTGCTTTCTTGGTGTTTAAAATGTACCTAAAACTTAGGTAATTACGATGCATCTTGTTTGTAGAATGACTTATTAAACCCTCTGAACAACCATGTGAGGTGGGTGTTCCTTCTGTCATCCCCTATATGTAGCTGGGGAAACTGAGGGTTGTGTACCTTGTCACGGTCACGTGTGGGGTGGGTGGAGCAGGGGTGTGAGCCTGGACACCCTGCAGTGCCCTCCTCCTAACGGCCAGCCTGCCTTCGAGTCGTCTCCGTGCTCATCATCAGGGCTGCTGCCCACGTGGCTGACGTCTCCACGGGCAGCTCGCTGTAACTTACGGGGGCCACGGGGAGCCTGAGCGCTGACGTCGGTGTCGTGGAGGGGGCTCTGACTTCCCAGGGCACTGGCTCCCGCTGCTCCTGCCAGACCTCAGCCAGGTAGAGGCCCGAGTTCATGTCTGATGGGCCGGCCGGGGAGGGCGAGGGCGGGAGGCGCGAGAACAGGCGATCACTTGGTCCCGCACCCCTTTGGCCCTTGTTGGAGAACCCGGAAACAGCTCCCTGCCTGGAGGGTCCTCCCTGCTGGGAGTGACGCCTTTCGAGTGCTGGGCGTTTTCTCAGGACTGCCCCAGTGGTGACCAGAAAAAAGCCTGTGATTTTTCTTTATAGAATTATTTTTTAAAAATATTAAAGGAAGCATGGCCCTTCCATGTAGTATTGCCATTTGGGGGAATTAAGGAGTAACTGATACGCTGTGTCTGTAGCCTCCGTGTCTCTAGCAGGAGACAGCTGTCCCGTGGGGTGAGGTCAGGGAGCGCGCGGCTCTAAGCGCCCTGTGGACAGTGCTCTGGAGCACGGACTCCCCGGGCAGGGTTCCCTTGTGTGAAAGTTCCTTGTTTCTTCATCTGCAGCGTGGTCAGTGCGCTTTTGAGTATACCTCGTGCAGGTGAATTTTTAAGCAACCACATAAACATATACGAGTTATTCTTTAGGAAACCCTAATATGAATCTTCTAAAGTAATGAATTGATTTCTAAATCAGCTAAAGGTCCCCTTTGACCTTTGGTTAAATGATACAATGTGTATTTCCCGTATCAGATCGTGGGGCTCAGGAGGGCTAGGGGGAAGCATGGATGTCGTCGTGGAAACCCAGGGTGAGACACACTGTTTCTGACTCACGGTCTGCTTTTCAGATGACGGCCCCTCATTACCAACCAAACAGAACGAGGAGTTCCGGCCGTTCATTCGAAGGCTTCCAGAGTTTAAATTCTGGTGAGTTAATTTCTAAAGAGACTGTCCTTGGGTGTGGTTAATAAGACTGAGAACAGACCATTTTTATTCTAGTTAGCTAGCAAGTTAGACTTTCTAAAGAAATGAGAGTTTTGTCGTCTTTGTTTTGAACAGTTGTTCACTCAAAATGTGAGTGTTGTGCTCTCTGGCCTGGCGCTGGGTCGCAGGCCTCTCGGGGAGCCGACTGCCCGGTGGCTTCTCCCGGTTGCTGGATAACGCAGGGCTCATTGAACTAGCAGAGAGGTCGCTGCTGGGCGGACAGTCCCGGGCATGCTGCAGACTTGCCTCGGGAAGGGCGGGCTGCATGACAGTCTCTGCCCGTCTCTGAGCATGGCGCCCGTTCGGGTGGAGGGTGGAGGCTGGAGGCTGAGGCACGCCAGCTTCTACCACTCAGGGCGTCTGATGGCTGCAAGGCTGGGCCACCCAGGGAGGCAGCATGGGGGACAGCTGCTGGGGGGAGTGCTGTGCTCTGGGTGAGGTTGGCTGGTACCCAGATTCCCTAGAGGGGTGACATCTATGTGATGCTGTGATGAGGGAGTGTGACAGGTAGATAGAAGTGACCCCCACTGTCGGCATGGGGGCTCTATGACCTCTTTGTCCTGAATTTTTGGATCAAGAAGCTGAAGGGAACAAGTTGCCACATCTTTGCTCTGTGCTCTGGGGGGATGGGCAGGTGGTGCTGGGCAAGCCTGGGGCCTGAGCATGAAGTGCTGGGGAGGGAGCGGGAAGCAGGCGAGACGGGGGGCCTGGAACCCACTGAGGAAGCTGGCCTTTCCTCTGAGGAAGGGGCGAGCCAAGGAGGGGTTTTAGGGGGGCCATGAGCCTCGGTCATCCCCACGCTGAACGACGCCAGTACCCTGCACTGCTGTCCAGGTTCCGTGCGGTTCGAGAAGGACACTAAGCTGCGCTGTGTTCTGCGTGGCGCGTTACCCGTGCAGTTTACGCAGAGCCACACTGTCAGGAGATGCGCGCTCACCTCCCCCTTTCCTTCAAGGCATGCGGCCACCAAGGGCATCCTGGTGGCTATGGTCTGCACCTTTTTTGAGGCATTCAACGTCCCGGTGTTCTGGCCCATCCTGGTCATGTACTTCATCATGCTCTTCTGTATCACAATGAAGAGGCAGATTAAGGTAAACCAGAGGGCGCAGCGCCCGGGAAGGCAGTGGTCGCACAGTGCGGGAGGGATGGGAGGCCCTGTGGAACCGCCTCGTCTGCACTGGGCGGCAGGAAGCTCTGTGTGGGCCTGGGACGGGGACACGGTGCTCGCTGCCCTCTGCCGGCACAGTTCTGTGCCACAGCCCGGTGTCGGGACGGGCCTGGGGCAGACAGCTCTGGGGGCCGAGGAGGGAAGGCCCTGGGATGGACCCTCCCCCTGGGCACGGCATCCTGTGGGTAGTCAGGGTCAGGACCTGCCAGATGGTGCAGTGGGTTATACCCATGTTACCCTGCAGCAGGCCTGGGCAGACCCAAACTCACTGCTTGTCAGGGTGCCTCCCATCCTGCCCCCCCCCAGTGGGACGGGAAGCCTTGGACTGGAAGCTCACCGCTGGGGTCCTGGTTCTATCGCCCGACATGTATCTGTCTGTCTGTCCGTCCCCAGCACATGATAAAGTACCGGTACATCCCATTCACACACGGCAAGAGGACATACAAGGGGAAGGAGGACGCGGGCAAGACGTTTGCGAGCTAGACCAGCTGACTGGCCGCCCCTCGGAGCCCTCGCCACGCGGGTTTGAGCCATTGTAACAGCGCCTTCTTTCTTCACATAAAGTAGTTGATGGCAAGGGAGTTGGATTTTCTTTTTAAAAAGGAGCTTCAATTGTTTGTAACTGAAATATCAGGTTTTCGAAGAAACTGGCACTTAAACTGAATTGCATTGATTTATTTTTCAGTGATGCCAGGTGTTTAAAATGGACAGAATTAGTCAGTCACAGGCGGGGCAGTCGAGGGTGCTGGGGGCGCGGAAGGACCTTCCCGAGGATGACCTGGTCCTGTCGCCTGCAGCACGAGGCTGCCTGAGCCTGCGTTGGAGAAGCAGCGTCGGGAAGGTTCCGGTAGCCTGGGCCTCAGCCCACTTCCCAGCTCCACCCCTCGAGGTTGCGCATCGGCCTCTGACTGGAAACCTAGCCACCATGATCGCTTTTGGGGCCTGGAATTATAAATATATATTATATTTTAATTGTTTGAAATTATTTTGACATATTTCTTTCATACGTAAAGAGTTGTTTTGATTAATTTAACTGTCCATGCGGCAGCCCCTCACAGAAGCAGCGAGCTGGGAAGAGCACCCAGGTCTGTGGGTTGCAGCTTGGCTCCACTTCCTATGGGGAACAGCTCTGACCTGCATGTTGACTTTTTTGATGTGATAAAAACAAATACTCGTAAACCTTTTACTAAGTGACTTTTTAATTCAAACTTTATTAAAGACAGTGTCCCCTTTCTTGTGTAGTCTTTATGGAAAATGCGCCCCAGCAGGGAACCGCCACCAAGGATGGCAGGGCATGGCGGTGGGTTCGTGGGGCAGCCGCTGGACTAGTGGGAGCCTGTCTTTCCCCCAGGTCTGAGGCAGAGCGTGGCCATGGTCTCGTAGGCAGACACTGAAGGGCGAATCCACTTTTCTTCTGGCTCAGGGTTCATGCTCGTGGCTCTGAGCAGTCTCCCACCCGCCTCAGGGTTTTAGACATACGTATGTTTATGGTGTGGCTTTTCTTTAGCCAAGTTTTGCATATCTGAAGTTGGGCTCCTCTTGCTTTAAAAATATCCCCACTGAGGATGTTTTCATTAATTTTTGAGAGAGGGGAGAAACATTGATGTTGGACATCGATTGGTTGCCTCCTGTATACACCCTCACTGGGGATTGAACCTGACTTTGTGTGTGGTACGTGCCCCTAGCAGGAACCGAACCTGGGACTCTCTGGTCTGCAGGCTGACGCTCAACCACTGAGCCAAACTGGCCAGGGTGAACCCAACTTTTTTGATGCTGTAACCCACTGAGCCGCCCGGCCAGGGCTAGACCTCTTCCACATGCTGGTTGTAGCCCCACGTCTGGACGGCACTGAGTCACTGCAGGGTCGTGCCAGCACTTGGGGTCAAGCTCAAGGTGCTTGTACCTAGCACACGTTCCCTAGCAGATGCCCAGGCCTGACGTGATTGATGGGTGTCGTGTGCACTTGGTCGGATGGGAGTGAAGGGAAGGGTTTAGGGACCGGTGGTGACCTGCTCTGGCCTCTTTGTCAGGCTGCTGCTCAGTCTGGCCCATGGTCACGGTGGTCTGTCCTGGCAGCTGACCTTTGTCACCAAGAACAGAGCAGTCACTGCTGCTGGATAGCTGCTAAGTTATACTCGAGTGGCCTGCACAGGCCTCTGCCACCAGCCTGAGCTGCACACTCCTCACAGGGATGCCACCTCAGACAGGTCCTGGCAAGGGCATGCGGCACCAGCCTGGTGACACCTGGGCTTCACCTCAGCCTCACGGTGCTCAGAGCACTGACACTTCTGGGGGATTCGTTCCTCACTGATGCCTGTGCGGGTCCTGCCTCCATACAAGTTAGGATTTTAAAAACCTGAAGAGCAAAATATGGCAGGAAATAGGCTGACATAGAGCCTCTGACAGGTGGCTTGTGACTTAGGGTTAGGAAGACAGAACTCACTCAAGCTGGCCCTGCCCCACCAGGACCTGGGTGGCAGGGGACCCCTCAGTGTGCACGGCCCAGGACGCAGACTCGCCTGCGAGGAGGGATGTGCTGAGCCCGGGGTGCAGGGCGAGAGCCTCGGGTCCTCCTGTGCGTGGATGTGCCTGGTCCCTTAGCAGCTGGGTGTGGTGACAGGTGAGGTTTGCAGGTGGGGCTGACCACACCCCGAAAACAGTGACATTCTCTGCTCATTCAACCAAACCCTTCCTGCCCACCAGGGGTTGGCTCCTTTTCTCATCGTGGAAATGAAGACTGTCCAGCCTGTTTCTAATGTGTCCTCAGCTGTGTGATTTGGGAAGGGAAGGGCGTTCCTGCAGAACTGGCTGTTGTACTGCAGGGGCCAGAGAGGGGTGTCCACACGGCCTGCAGGCTCGGGACTTGAGCTGGGTGGGGCCCCCCAGACCGGCCCTGGAGGCCTCGGACGGCCGTTCAGCGTCTGTTCTGAGCTGCTGACACAGCACCTTATGCAACCGAGATAGAAAATCAGAGGGTTTTATGATTTCTGTGTAAGTCAAGTTAATCTTAAGAATCAATTAAGTTTTCTCCTAATAGGCGACTCCTGGGCTCCTGTCCTCTGGTCACCGGAAGTGCCGCAAGTAGACGAGCTTCTGGGGAGGGAACTTCTCCCTGCACAGGGGACACTCCGTCTGTGGGGGAAGGAGAGGTCACGGGCTGTGTCCCCTACAGACCACTGCAGGCCCTCCCCCCGGCATCTCCACGAGCCTCCGTCCAACATAAAGCGGGAATGCTGGCATTTCTTCGGAAGCCGCCAACCTGAAGGGTGGCCTGAAGCCTGGACGGTGGGGAAGGGGAGCGGGTGACTGACCCATCCTAGCACACAGCTGGCCTGTCCACGTGGGGATGGGGGGTGAGGCTCTTGGCCACCACTGACTGCTGTGTCGAGACACCCACAGGGCCTCACAGCTGGGGTAAGACTGGCTGCCTGACCCCTCAGGAGGCTCTGGGGTGAGCCCATCTCCTGTCCCCTTTCCTGAAGCAAGGCGGCCCCACCCTGGACTACCCAGGCTGAGACCTCATCGGCTTCCCTCGCCCTGGAAGTCAGACACTTGCCAGGCACCCACTGGGCCCACAGCAGGGACAACCCAGCGGCTGTGCAGAGGCAGACAAGGTGAGCGTCACGTCCCTTGTTACCTCCTTGCCTGGGTGGCCCGCCTACTCCCTGCAGCCCAGGAATCTGGGCTCAGGCTGAGCTCGCCAGTGGTGTGTGGGGAACTAGGAACCGGACCCTCACTGGAGTCAGTGTGGGGATGAGGGGCAGCTGTGCTGACCACCTGGCTCAGTACGCCCTTCACCGTGAGGGCTTGAAGGGCCAGCGGCTCCCCATGGGCAGTCATGGGGGTGCCTGTCTGGCTGGAAAGAGGGTGCAGCATATGCGGGCAGGCCCGGGCCTCTCGAGTGTGACATGGGGGCGACTTGTGTACCAGGGCCTCCCAGGGACGATGCCCACAATGCTGTGGCCACTCTAGCTTGCGCCGGACCGTGTCCACATGGCAGTTGTGGCGCCCTGATTCCCGACGGACTCCATCCCTAGCTTACATGGGGCTTTTAAAGACACCCACCCCTCCACCACCACTGAGGTTTCAGAGGCAGGTGCTGACTGTGGCAGCCACCTGGCTGTCCTGTACACCTGCCCGGGGAACCTGTGCCTGGAACCACAGCTGCTGACCTTGTTGTCACACCACTGGGTGATGCACTCCCAGCAGAACAGATGGCCGCAAGGTGTGGCTGTCGAATGCCTGCGCTCCTCCAGGCACAGGGTACACAGGGAGTTTCTGGACACCGCTCTCTCCTCCACGTGGCTCCTGTGGGGGTGGGGAGGGTTGAGCCTCCAACTCCTTGCTGAGCACAGGGGCGCCTGGCCTCCACAGGCCAGCGGCACGCCTGAGCTGAGCGCCCGTGCCCTGGTGCCAGCCCTGCGCACCTGCGGCGAGACAGTCTGCGGTGCAGCTTCCACTCCCGCTGGGCGCGCTGCCTCTGCCGGAGGCCGTAGAGCTGCAGGCCCACGGACAGCACCAGGTGCAGCAGGGAGATGACCCCCAGCAGCCTGTAGCTTGCACGAGCCCTCAGGTCCTCTGCTGGCGGGTGCTGGATGCGGAGCTGTCAAGGAGCCCAGGGGACAATCACAGGATCTGCTGGCACAGAGACTGAACAGCTTGGAGGCCAGCCTCCCCCAGCTCTCAAGTGTCCCGGCAATTGAGGCCCAACCCTGCCCTCTGGGTGCACGGAGGGGACAGATGATGACCATGGGGCCTCTCAGCTGGGCGAGGGCAGGAATGCCTTCCAAGTCCTGAGCACGGGTGGGTGGGCAGTTGGGTCACTGCTGAGCGATGGCTCGGGCCTTGCTCCCAGCAGGTGGAGCAGAGCCCGGAAGGTGTGCGCGGAGCTGGAGTGTGCAGGGGAGGGAGGGGAGGAACCAGGAAGAGCCCGAGAGCAGCAGTGGGGCAGGAAGAGAAGCGCCGTGGTGAACGCTGCCACCCAGCTGTCTGCTGCAGGAACAGAAGCTCCCTGCTCTTTGGTGACCACGCCACTGGGTGACACTGCGTGCCTCCTGCTAGCGAGGGGACGGAGGCAGCCAGGTCAGCAGACTGGCCAGGCTCTGGGTGCCTGTGCAGAGAAGAGCCCGTAGCAACCCCAGATGCCTCAGGAGGGAAAGGCCCTCTGGCTTGAGCCTTGTGTTTCCAGCCCCTTTGTTAGAGCAGCTCAGCAGCACACACTGAGGACGGACGAGCATGTCAAGGGCCGAGACTGCGCAGTGGCAGAGGCACAGGAGCCAGGACAGCACTGCCAAGGGGGCAAAGAGAGGGGTAGGGCAGGATGGGGCGGGGCTTTCTCAAAGGGAGCACGAGGCTGAGAGCAATGCAGGAGCCAGAGCCTGGAACCTCTGGCGGGCGGGCCTGGGGTGGCTTTTGGGCGACTGGGCAAGGGAACCCAGACCGGAGGGTGTGAACGGTCGTCCAGCAGAGCGGGCGGGTGCAGAGCAGGGAAGACTAGCAGGTTGCTGTAAGCAATGGGCTCGTGGTCACTGTGGGGTCACCGCCAGGAAGACATCCCTACACGCGACCCTCCATCAGGGCAATCTGGAAGCTGTGGCCACAGGCCTGTGCTCAGAGTAAAGTGCAGGGTGCGGGGCCTGGCACTGTGGGCGGCCTGCGCAGGCTGGCTGCGGGAGACAGACTTGCCCTACTCTCAGGGTTTGTGGAAACTGAACTTACTTGGGCTTTTTTAGCAAAATGTGAACCAACAAAACCCAGCCACAGGTTCCGGCCCCAGCCCTGTGACTGCTAATCCAGAGGCCCCGAAGAGCCGACTCCGCCTGCACAAACCAGGACCCGGCCCGGGCTGCACCTGCACTTACGTAGGTGACTCCCGTGAGCCTCTTGGCCAGATGGTAGAAGGTGCCGTGCATGTAGAACCAGGCGAGGTGGAGCCGCTGGAGGCAGCCCAGGCCCTGCCTGAACACCAGCACGGCCCTCAGCAGCGTCTTCCTCTGCTGCTCTGCCAGGCCAGCCACCCACCGGCGCACGCAGCGCCTGGCTCTGGACCGGCCTCGCACGCAGGGTGCCAGGCTGCCCTGCGACGCCCAGGGGCCGCTGCCGTCGGCCTGCAGCTCGTGCTCCAGGTGGAGCAGGGCCTTGTCCACCAGGTAGGGCAGGAGGGTGTGCAGTGCGACCAGCACGCCACGGCGCAGCCTTGAGGGCACTTGTCTTTGGGACAGGTCCACCTGGATGAGCCCGACATACTCCTCCCCGAGGGTCTGGTAGCCTGGGGGTGGGGGGACACCCACGTGAGAGGCTGAGGCAGACCCCGCGCTCTACCGAGCCCCTGCCTTTCTTATAAAGGACAACTCTGCCACGGCCTTCACCGCCATGCCCTGTGATAGCCTCCGTCCTGGGCCCCCCGGATACAAGGTTCAGCCATGGAGACATGGTCTCAGTGCAAGCTCCAGGACAAAGATCCCCAGGGACACAAAAAAGGAGGCAAGGAGGCCACACACATGACAGGTGAACAAGTGTAGGTTCCAGAGGCCCCGCCGGGGGCTCAGGGTCGGGCCTCCCCTCCAGGAAAGGGTCTCGGGGTCTTCTCCTTCCCTGGGGCTGCCTCCGGGCCAGCTCTAGGGTCGCTGGGAAGCACCTCCAGGAGCTTCTCATTTTGCTGTTAGCCCCCCTTCCCGTCCTCTGGGCTGGGTGTATGTTGTGGTCCCCTGGGTCCCAAGGTCGCAAGGGGGGGTGCGCAAGGGGGGTGCTACCTGCAAGTGTGGTGAGGCCAAAGTAGGCGACATCTGACAGCAGCTCGAGCTCCTTCCTCCACTCCAGCCACTTCTTCGCCCCTGAGAGCAGAAACGGCATTACTTCTGGGAGGCGGGGAGGGCGGTAAGGTTAGGCCCTGCTGCCCCCAACGCCCAGCCCGCCACCTGTGCTCTAAGCTGAGCCTGTCCTGAACTACCCCTCTCCCCTGGCCCGCTCTGCTGCATCTACACCTGCCCACCAGGAGCCCGTGGCCCCTCCAGGACTCACCCGGGCAAGTGTTCTAGTGCCCAGAAGGGCCACCAGGGCAGACAGTGTGGCCGTGACAGGGCACAAGCAAGACCGCTGTCCGGCATCCCGTCCCCGCTCCCCACCCGCCGGCTGTGACCTCAGGCAAGCCCCCGGGTCTCGGGAACCCCGCTTCCCAATCTGAGCCTGGCTACGGCACGTCCTGCTCTGTGGCTCTGAGGGTTACGAGCTGGTGTTTGTACAGCACCGACAGGAGCGCCGGGCCGCAGTCTGACCGCGTCCCAGCGCCGCCCCAACAGCGGCCGGCGCGCCCCCGGCTCCCGCTGAGGCCGGGTCTCGGTGGGCGCGCAGGGCCTGGCAGGTCTGGGGCGCGTCTGTCCGCCTCGCCCAGGCCCGCCCACGGGCCAGCTCTCCCCCCGCGCCGGGCACGGCCGGCGGCACCCTCGGGCCCTGGCCTCACCCGCCAGGCTGTGCAGGGCGCCGCCCGCCGCGCTCCGCAGCCCCCCGCGGTAGTGGTCGTCCTTCTGAGCCGCGCGCACCACCTCCGGGGGGCCGGCGGCCGCGGGAGCCATGGCCGTGCAGACCGGCGGGGAGTGCGGCGCACACCTTGTGCGTCATGGTCCGCGGGCTCGGATTGGGCGGCGCGAGGGGCGGGGCCGTACGAGGGCGGGGCGGGGCTAAGGCGGGGCCCGCGGGCTCGGATTGGGCGGTGAGGGGCGGGGCCGTACGAGGTCGGGGTCCCAGCGGGTTCGGACTGGGAGGTGCGAGGGCGGGGCCGTACGAGGGCGGGGCGGGGCGAAGGTGGGTCCCAGAGGGCTCGGACTGGGCGGTGCGAGGGCGGGGCCTGGGCGGTGCGAGGGCGGGCACGCGGGCTCGGACTGGGCTGTGCGTGGGCGGGACCGTATGAGGTCGGGGCGGGGCGAAGGTGGGGCCCAGCGGGCTCGGACTGGGCTGTGCGAGGGCGGGGCCTGGGCGGTGCGAGGGCGGGCACGCGGGCTCGGACTGGGCGGTGCGAGGGCGGGGCCTGGGCGGTGCGAGGGCGGGCACGCGGGCTCGGACTGGGCGGTGCGAGGGCGGGGCCTGGGCGGTGCGAGGGCGGGGCCTGGGCGGTGCGAGGGCGGGCACGCGGGCTCGGACTGGGCTGTGCGTGGGCGGGACCGTACGAGGTCGGGGCGGGGCGAAGGTGGGGCCCAGAGGGCTCGGACTGGGCGGTGCGAAGGGCGGGGCCTGGGCGGTGCGAGGGGCGGGGCCGGGGAGGGCCGGGGCTAGCGTGAGCCCCGCCCCCTGCGCCGGGCCGGACTGGCAAGGGCGCGGACCTGTGGGAGCCAAGTGGGCGCCGGGCGGCGGGGGAGCAGGTGGCTGGGGCCAAGGGGCGGCCGGACCCGAGGGCGCTGGACGCGGTGGGGTTTCCGGGTCTGAGAGCTGATCTGGCAGCTTCACTGCGAGAGAGCGGGCGGGACAAGCCCTGGGGACTGCGAGGGGGCAGCCAAACCATCAGGTGCTGACCCTCCGTGGGGCGGGGTCTCCGGGGAGCCCAGGGGCTTGCGGTGGGTGCGGCGTCCCGCCCCAGGCCAGGCTCTTCCTCTCTGCACTGCCCTCCTGGCTGCTCCTGTCACCCACCTCGTGTTCGGATCCTCCGGGACCTCACCGGGACCCCCCTGCGGGCTGGAACCGCCCCACGCTGGGGCCCCACAAAGGCGCTCTGGGGACCCTGGGCCTGGTGGGGATCAGAATCTGTGAACCACGGTCATGAGAACAAGACAGGCGGCTCACTCACCCCCCAGGCTGCCCCGCGCTGGGCCCTCCTGGTGGACCCCTGAGCCCTCCCAGCCGCTTCGCTCATAGAGCGGGGACCCAGGCAGGCCTGGGCAAGTCGCCAGGGCCACACACTAGAGGGCAGAGCTGGGGGAGCCACAGCCCGACTTGAACTGCTGGTTGGGAGGGGCCTGGCCTAGGGAAGGAAAGAGGGAGAAGGGATGGCTGTGGGGACAGCTTGAGGCCCGGAGCATCAAGTCTGCACCTGTGCCCCAGTGGCAAAGGGAGGGCCAGGGGCTCCCCAGACAGACTTGAGTGGCCTCACGCAGCCTGGCAGCAGAAGCTCCCTGCTCTGTTGGCACTGAGTGGAGCCACGCGGCTACTTGAGAGAAAGTGGGTGGAACTGAGCCCAGGGGAACTGGGGAACGACAAGGCCCCACTGACCCGGGCCAGGTGGGCATAGGGCAGGACCGGTGACATTTCCTGGCCTCACCTCTGCTCTGCTCCAACCTCAGGAGGCTCAGCCCTGGGAAGGGCCCCAGCCCGGCCCAGACCAGGTGACATGGAACCCGGCATTGGCCAGGCTGTGGAGACGGGCTCAGAGCTGGGGGGCCCTACCAGCCAGGCTGGCCCTACTTAGAGGGTAGGGGCATGACCCTGTGGTCTCGCAGTCTCATCTGTCCCTGTGCCTCTTGAGAGCCACTCCCCTGCCTGTGTGTCCTCTTTCCTGGACACAGAGGCTGCCTGCTGCTTTGGCTGGCAGCCGGAGGCAGATCCTTGGAGGGGGTGCAGGGGCAAGGCTTGGGCCACGTGGAGACACTGAGGCCTCACAACTCTCATCCTAGCCCCAAGAAACCCAAGCTCCTTCCTGGCCCCAGAGGCACCCGGGCCTGTGTGGTGTCCATTGGCGCCAAGTCGGACTTGGAATGGGTTGTTTCCCTTCCTCAGCGTCCCGTCTCTCTGTAGCAAGGCCAGAATCAATGTACCGAGTGCCTTGTTCTCTGGAGGTGGGCTTTGGGGACCCTCCCCGCCCCCGGGTTCAGATCTCAGTTTCCTCACTGGTGCCCCAGCTGCTTGTTTGGGGTGCTGCTGACGCTCCAGGTGCAGACTCCAGAGCAGCCAGCAGGTGTCGCCATCGGCTCATCTGCTCTACCAAGTTAGCGTTGAATTGTTGCGGGTCAGGGTCAGGGAGTTACACCTGGACTTGTGAACTCGGTGGGGGGGCGGGGGGGGAACCAAAGACAGAGTGGAGTGACTGCTCCCTGGGCCTCAGTGTAAAGGTGGGGACACCGCTGAGGCGTGTGACTGACGGTGGGTTTCAGAGACAAGGCAGCTTGGGAGATGCATAGGAGAAGTCCTTGGCTGTCAGTCAGTAAATCAGCTCTTGTGTCCCCTGGTGAGCATGGCCTGGAGCTCCTGGGCTGCAGTTTTCAGATCCCAGGATTCTGGGCTGGGCTGGGGGGCAGGGACGAGGGCTCTTGCCAGAGGGGGTGTGTGCCCCTTGTCACCACTAGCCTGTGCAAGGGCTAAAATATCAACACTTTCCCTCCTCCTTTCTAAGTTCTAGTCGGGCCAGTATTCAAATGAGCGGAGACAGTAACGGGAGAAAGTCACAGTTTTAATGCGCGTGCATGGGGAAGTCACATAAGCACGGACGTCCCGAGGACAGCGAGGCAACACTGGACACAGGACATTTCCGGACAAAGGAGAAGGGGGGCGGGCTCCTAGAAGTCAGAACGGAGCATGGGTGACTTACAGGTAGTTGACGTGGAACATGCATGGCAGGAAGTTTCTCGCCAGGCAACTCAGAGATGGGGGACATGGGGCATCTCGCGGACAACAAAGGCCAGGGTAGAAGGTGCTTACGGCAGCACTTTTCTACCTTTCTCGTCGCAGGGCACACGCAGACCAATTACTAACGTCCTGTGGCACACCCGGAAAGGTATTTTTTTGCTGATCTGACATAAAATAGTTATAATTTTTATTGATTTTCAACAACAAAAAAATTACCTACCCTTTTTGCTCCAAAAGTAACTTTTTATTTTATATTTTAATTATTTTTTAAAATAGTTTTTTATTGATTTTTTTTGAGAGAGAGGAAGGGAGCGAGAGAAAGAGATAGAAACATCGATGTGAGAGAGAAACATCCATTGGCTGCCTCCTGCACGCCACCTACCGGGGATGGAGCCGGTAACCCGGGCATGTGCCCTGACTGGGAATCAAACCAGGACCTCTCAGTCCATGGGACGACGCTCCATCCACTGAGCCACACCAGCCACACCAAAAGTGACTCAAAAAAAATAAAAGGTGCACCCTAGCCGATTTGGCTCAGCGATTAGAACGTCAGCCCACGGACCAATGAATTGTGGGTTGATTCTGGTCAAGGGCACGTACCTTGGTTGCAGTTTGGTCCCCGGCCCTAGTCGGGGTTGTGTGGGAGGCAACCACTCGGTGTGTCTCTTTCACATTGACGTTTCTCTCTCTCTCTCTCTCTCTCTCTCTCCCCCCTCCCTCCCACTCTATCCGAAGATAAATGGGAAAGAAAATATCCTCGGCGAGGATTAAAAAAATAAATAAATAAATAAATAGGAATCAGGTGATTATATTATATCTAAGGATTTCTGGTACCAAGAATTGACCAATCAGAGGAAACCTCATTATGCGACGTGACCAATAAGATGGAACTCTGTGACATGACCCGTATAATTATGGTTCAAGACAGGCATTCACCCAGGACAGTTATTGTGTTGGCCGTTGTCGTTTGTACTGGACAGTCTCGGACAAGAAGCCAGTGCCCTGACTGAACAGGTGGATGTGTGCGGCTCCCCGGCTGCAAATCAGCGCCGTACGGTGATGGGCCAAGGCTCCCTCCAGAGGAGATTTCTCTGTCTGAAGCTCTTGGGCAGGAAAGCGGGGTGGCTCCAAGGTTCTTCTAAGTCTTTTTCTTTCTTAATAAACAGTTTAAAGTCAATATCCCAAAGAGCAGCTTCAGGGTGGCCAAACTTTGGTCCCCTTCACCTGAATGCAGGGCCTGTGCCCATGGGACTTGTGACCTCTGGCTCCTCTGACAGGAGGGCGGGAGGGGAGGCTCCGCGGGCTGCAGGCCGAGGTGGCTGGAGGGTCCCGCCGGCCCCCCCCCACGGCCCTCCCTTGCAGCAGCAGCCTGGGCAGGAGAACGAGGGAAGGCTCAGGCAGGACCTCGGGTACAGTGCTCACTGCTCACGCAGATGAACCCGGAGAACAGGTTTCCGGGTACAGTGCTCACTGCTCACGCAGATGAACCCGGAGAACAGGTTTCCGGGTACAGTGCTCACTGCTCACGCAGATGAACCCGGAGAACAGGTTTCCGGGTACAGTGCTCACTGCTCACGCAGATGAACCCGGAGAACAGGTTTCCGGGTACAGTGCTCACTGCTCACGCAGATGAACCCGGAGAACAGGTTTCCGGGTACAGTGCTCACTGCTCACGCAGATGAACCCGGAGAACAGGTTTCCGGGTACAGTGCTCACTGCTCACGCAGATGAACCCGGAGAACACGTTTCCGGGTACAGTGCTCACTGCTCACGCAGATGAACCCGGAGAACAGGTTTCCGGGTACAGTGCTCACTGCTCACGCAGATGAACCCGGAGAACAGGTTTCCGGGTACAGTGCTCACTGCTCACGCAGATGAACCCGGAGAACAGGTTCCTCCACCTGGCAGTGGCTGGGAGGCCCTCACCCCACCTCAGGCTGGTCGCAGACCCGGGCATTGGAGGTCCTGGGGCGGCGAGCCCGGGCACAGGCGGGCAGTGCCCCAGCTGGGCTGCACGGTGGAC